ATAAAAAAAAAAAAAAAAAATAATAAAAAAAATGAGAGAAATCGTTCACGTATAAGGAGGTTAATGCGGTAACTAAATTGGTGCCAAATTTTGGGAAGTAATATCCGATGAACACGGAATTGACCCAACCGGAACCTATCACGGAGATTCTGACTTATAACTCGAAAGAATCAATGTTTATTACAACGAAGCAACTGGAGGAAGATACGTCCCTAGAGCTATTCTTATGGACTTAGAACCTGGTACCATGGACTCTGTAAGAGCTGGACCTTTTGGTTAACTTTTCAGACCTGATAACTTCGTTTTTGGTTAAACTGGTGCTGGTAACAATTGGGCTAAAGGTCATTACACTGAAGGTGCTGAATTGATTGATTCAGTATTAGATGTTGTTAGAAAAGAAGCTGAAGGATGTGATTGTTTACAAGGTTTCTAAATTACCCACTCTTTGGGAGGTGGTACTGGTTCTGGTATGGGAACTTTACTTATTTCTAAGGTCAGAGAAGAATATCCTGATAGAATTATGGAAACTTTCTCCGTTGTACCTTCACCTAAAGTATCTGATACAGTCGTAGAACCCTACAATGCTACATTATCTGTACATTAACTCGTCGAAAACGCTGATGAATGTATGGTTATTGACAATGAAGCTCTCTATGATATCTGTTTCAGAACTTTGAAATTAACCACACCCACCTATGGAGATTTAAATCACTTAGTTTCTGCTGCTATGTCCGGAGTTACCTGTTGTTTAAGATTCCCTGGTTAATTGAACTCTGATTTAAGAAAGTTAGCTGTAAACTTAATTCCTTTCCCTAGATTGCACTTCTTTATGATAGGTTTCGCTCCTTTGACTTCTAGAGGATCTTAATAATATAGAGCTTTAACTGTCCCTGAATTAACCTAATAAATGTTCGATGCTAAAAATATGATGTGCGCTGCAGATCCTAGACACGGAAGATATTTGACCGCTTCAGCCTTATTTAGAGGAAGAATGTCCACTAAAGAAGTTGATGAATAAATGCTCAATGTTTAAAATAAAAACTCTTCTTATTTTGTAGAATGGATTCCTAATAATATTAAATCTTCTATTTGTGATATCCCTCCTAAAGGTTTAAAAATGGCTGTCACTTTTGTAGGAAACTCAACTGCTATTTAAGAAATGTTTAAGAGAGTTGCTGAATAATTCACTGCTATGTTCAGAAGAAAAGCTTTCTTACATTGGTATACTGGTGAAGGTATGGACGAAATGGAATTCACTGAAGCTGAATCTAATATGAACGATCTCGTCTCTGAATATTAATAATATTAAGATGCTACTGCTGAAGAAGAAGGTGAATTTGATGAAGAAGAATAAGCCAATTGAGGTACTTTTTTTACAATACATTTCAAAAATATAAGAAATAACCCCCCCCCCCATAATAATAATTATATAATAAATAATATATAAAACATATATTAAATTAAACGCCACCCTTTATATATATTATATGTCGAATTTGTAATTTTATAAATTTAAGTTTAGAAAATAAATAAATGTCTTTTTTTTATAATATATTAATATTAGTTTTTAATTATTTTAAAATAAATTTTATTTTATTTTTATTGTTTATATTTTTTAGTGTTTTTTATAAATAAAAATTAATTTTTTTTTTTTTTCTTGTTCTTGTTCTTTTTATTTTTATTTTTATTTTTATTTTTTTTAAATAAAATTTAAATATTAATTTTTTTTTTCCTTCTTTTGTTTTAAAATAAAATTAAAATTAGTTTTATTTCTTTTTAATTTTATTTTAATTGAAAAAAATTTAAAATTTATAATATATAAACATATATTCATTTTTTAATAAAAAAAAGTAAATTTATAAAAATAAAAAAAATTAAATTTACTATTTATATATATATATATAAAAATCAATCAGTATTAGTAGGAACCAACGGATCAAATCCTAATTCCTCAACTGGGATAACGAATTCAGATAATTTTCCTTCATAAGCCTTTACCATATGAGAATGTGCTTTTCTTATTTATTTAAGTTACAATTATAATTCTTAAATAAGATCATTTTTGAGTTATTCAGCTTCTTCTAAACTTTTAGTAATAGATCCTTAAGTTAAAAAAATATAATTATATATAAATATAAATATAAATATATATATATATATATATATATACATATATTACCTAGAGAATTAGGGTCTATATTAGCTTATTATAATGTAGAATGTATTTCCAAATCTTTAATTTCTAAATCTTCCCTTAGATTTGCATTTTTCTTTTCTAAAATTAGATTTTCAAGTCCAGCTTTTTAATGTATTTCATAAACTGTTTGATTTAATTTTTAATGCAATGCATTTCTTTCTCTTTCTAAATAATTAAACTATTATAACTTTACTTCATATTCATATTCGAGTTTTCTAAATAATGTTTCATGAATTTCTATTTATTTTTTCAAATCTTCTTTTTCTTTTATTATTTTTTCTTATTCCACTTATTATTTTAATAATTATTCAATTTCTATTTCTAATGCTTATAAAGGTTCACTTAATTCCCTTGACCCTTTTTCTGTTTATTAAAGGATTTTTTTACATTCCTCTTCTTATCTTTAGAGTTCCTTTATTTCACCTTTTAAAGTTTTTCTATAGTCTAGGTTAGTGGCAGTTATTTCTGAATAATAATTCTTTATGTCATTATATTTTACAGTATGCTCTTTTATTAATTCAGCTATTTTTTAGTTTTTATTATCTTCCAAAAGCTTTATTTAAGCTGCACGAGCTTCTTCCATCTCCTTTGTTAAATTAAACATTTTCAAGTCATATTTCTTTTTTATGTCATTTATTGATCTTTCATATTCTTATTTTATTTAAATATATTTATATATATATATATATATACCTTATCTTAATAATGTTTTTTATTTATCATGATCTTATTTTAAAGCAAAAATATAGTCATTATGAGAAATTTCTTATTCTTTTTTCTTTATTTTTTTAAAATATAAACATATATTAATAATTAATTAATTACCATGACTTTTAATGCTCTAACATCAGTTTTTAATTCTCTGGATTTAATTCTATGTTAGTCTTCTAATTATTTAAGAGTTATTTCTACGTCTTTTTTTAATTCACTTTATTAATCTTAATTTTGAAACAGTAAATGTTTTATTCTTTTTTTTTTTTTAAAAAAAAAAAAATATTTATTAAATATATTATTTTTATTATATTTTTTTTTTATTATAAAATAAAACTTTTATTTATAAACATTCAAAGTCATAAAATGATTTTCATTTAAATCTTATAATTCTCTTTCTTTATTAATAAGTTCACTTTTTTTATCTTCTAATTCCTTTTTTGAAATAATCCAATTGTAATTAATTTTTTCTCTCTCTTATTAATAAAATGCAAGCAGTTTTTTTTCTTCTTCATAAATATCATTTAAAGATCTTATTTCTTTTCTCATTGCTTTCTATATATATTTATATAAATATTAGTTTATTATTAAAAAAAATAAATTAATTAAATTTACCTTATATTCTTCACTTTCATTATCATTTACTTTATCTGCTGCGTTTCTTGCGTCTTATTCATTTTCTTATTTTTTTTAATATTTTTAAATAATATTGCTAATATTTTTCTATATTTTTTTAAATAAAAATATATTCGTTTATTACTTGTAACGCCTGGAGGCTTTTTTCCTGTTTTATTATTTTTTGACATTTAAAATATAATTTTTTATTTATTTATAAAAAAAAAATAGGAATAAAAATATTAAATGAATAAATATAATAATTTTAAAGACTTTTATTTAATTATTATATAGAAATATAAATAAAATATAAAAGACTTAATTTTAACTATATTATTATTATTATTTTTAAAATTAGTAAACTATATTAATAAAAATTTTTTAATAATATAATTTATTATTTAAATATATATTAAAAAAAAAAAGTTTTTTAAAATATATAAATAAATATTTAAAAATAGAATAAAAAAAATATGATATAGTAAATAATCATTACCAACTATTTAATAAATGACAACGCTATAATTTATAAAATAAAAAAAAAATGTATAAAAATATATATATATATATATATATATATATATATTTATATATATTTATATATACATATATATAATTATTTATTTATATATTAAATTTACATGTTCATATGTCCATTGACATAAACCTTTAGATTTTATTTTATTTTCATTTTTAATACTATCAATTTAATTTTATTATTCAATTTTTTCTAATTATTTATTATGATTTTCTTTAATTTTTAAAATTCTTCCAATTTCATATTTTTTTTTTTTCTAAAATTCATCTTTCTAAAATTAAACTCTATGATTAAAATCTTTTGCAAATCTATCCTTTTATATATTTTTTTTTTTTTTTTTATATAAAAAAAAACCTTTTAATATTACATAATTTATATATATTTATAATATTTAAAAAAAATTACTTGGTTACACATATACATTGGACTATTTTCTGGTGCCTAAAAATTTTTGAAAGTATTTCCTATAGCAGGAGTAGAAGTAAATCTATTATATCTTTATGTATCTTAATAAAATTTATATACAAATAAAATTAAAAACAAAATTAATAAAAAATAACTTTCTTATGATTGATATGGTTTTTTAAGTTCATTAATTTTAGGTTAAATATTAGCTATTATATTTTATATATCTTATAATTATTCTTTACAAGGTGATGTAAAGGAATAACCAATTATTTTCCCATTTCATCATTATTAGACATTCCAACCCTTATTTTTGAACTAAATTAATTAAAATTGACATAACCTTTATTATCAGGATCCAAGTATTAAATAAAAGGTTAAATTTCATTATTTTAAAGTAAATTAAGTTCTTTTATTTTATTAATAATATCTTTTTAGGATACATAACCTTTAAAATAAATATAAATAAACTTAATATAATTTTTTATTTTTAAAAAATAACCATCTTTATCCACATCAAATTTTTTGAAAATTTCATAAGCTTTTTAAGTTCCACAAAAAATTTAATTTTCAAATTTTTCTAAAATCAAGTTTAAATTTTTCGGATAAAAAAGTCCAGTAGATTTCCTAACTAAACCAGAATATTATTAAAACTATTCTTATTATTATTATATATAAGACATTTCCATATTTTTTTCATTTGTTTCTTTAAACTCATCATGATATAAAACTTAAGGTGGAGGAGGAGGTTTATTTGGTTTTTAAGCTAATTTTTTATACCATTATCTATTTGATTCACTAATAAAAAAAACAATTATATATATATTTATGTGATTATATTTACTCAAATATAGCTGTAGATATATCTTTAGCATGTGTATGGTCATGTTTATTATATAGAAAAATAGATAAAAAAGCTTCCACTTCTTCCTTTTTTATTTCATTATCCCCTACATTCAAAAGTAAATTTTAAATAGCTTTTGTTAAATTTTTTTTTGAAATTTATTCTTTTTAGAATTAATTTTTATCCTAAATATTAATTTATTACATTAAATATTCATCAAAACTTTCTTTATTACTTATATATCTTTCAATAATTCTAAAAACCTTTGTAGCAGAATTTCTTATACAATCCAAATGCCATGAATTGACATTTGTATTATCAAAAACATTTATTTTATTATTTTCTTCGTAATTAAAAAGTGTTAATAATTTTGTTTTTTCACCTTTTTTTTATTCAGTTAAAGACGGATCAACCTAAATATATATATATATATATATATATATATATATATATATTATATATAATATATATTAATATAATATATAAAAATATTTAATACGTATATATCTTCTGGAACAAATTTATAATTTCTTAAATATTCAATAAATTCCCTATAATTAAATAAATTTTTATCTATTTTATGTCTAAGAAATAACGATTCGACATCATCTTTATTCAACACTGTTTCAGGTATAGCTAATTTTTTTATAATATCCTTAAACTTTTAATAAGAAACAAATCCTTATTATAGACTATCTTCTGAAAAAGTATAAGTTTTAATAAAAGAAAGTTTATTCTATAAAATTAAATTTAGTTAATTTTTATGTCTTTCCTGTCTAGTTTTAATTGCGTCTTATGTTAATTTATTGACTACATTTTCAGCTGTCGAAATAGCATATTCTTCTTCAGAAAGTACTGGAAGAGATTTTAAATTTACATTTAAAGTATCATTACTATTAAATATAAGGTCCATAAATTCATTTAAATTTAAATCACCGCTTTAATCTTAATCAGAACTAGCTATTAATACCCTACATTCATCAAAATTAATATTTATTCCTAATTTTTTTATCATTTCATACGCATTTTATGGTTTAATACATCCTTTTTAAAAAATTACATATATATATATATAATCTTTATTTATATTAAATATACCTAAAGAGTTATAATCCCATTAATTAAAAATTTTTTAAAAATGTGTTCTATTTGCATATCTTCTTCTTATAACTCTTCTTATTTCTCTAACTTTTTCTAAATCAACTTTTCCTTCTAGTGTTTATTTATTATATTGATCAAATCCTACGAATTATGTTTCGGCAATTGCAGTAGCATTTTTGTCGTGTTTTTCATTAACTAAGGCATCAGATTTGTCCTTTTCTAATTTTTGCTCTTTTTTTTTGGTTACATTATGTATATTTTCAGTTAATTATTCATCTTTTTGTATTGTCTGTGCCTTTCGATGGGTTTAAGTAGACAATATGGCGTTTGATTCACCTGTATATACTGGTTTTCGAAGTTATTTTTAGTCTAATTTTGAATGTCTGGGAATAAATTGTTATGTTTTTAATTTTATTGTGGATTAATTGGTGTCACAAAATAATTTTTTAGAAATATTATCTGTATTTTGTAACTTCTGTTTACGAGATTTTGCTGTAGATAAATAGTCAATTCTTTCAACTAAAATTGAAGGTAAATGCTCATGTGATCTTTTTTTTTATTATTTATTTTATTTTTCATAAAAAAAAAACCTAAAATCTATGTTTGATTTTCCAGTTTCATGTATTCTTTGTTTCCTTAAAATCATTTTTTAATAAATTTTATTAGATTAAAAAATAATTATTTATTTTAAAATTGTTATATAATAAAAATTTTAATATTAATATAATAAAATATATAATTAATAGATTTTTTTATAATATAAATTTTATATTTTTTATTTTTAAAAAAATATAGTGAAATTGAGAAATTATTTAAAAAAAATCAGATCAAGTATAAAATAATTATGAAAAAGACAAACAAAATGCATGAAAAATATATTGAAATATATATATATTATATATTTATATATTATATATATATATATATATATATACATATATATATATTCATATATATATTATGTTTTTAAACATTATTATATATATTCATTCATTTTATATTATTTAGTATAATAAAAATAAAAATTATTATAAAAATATGTTTCTAATTTTTATTTTTTGATACAAAAATACTTTAAAATAAAAATTACCCGAAAAAATTAATAATAATTATAAATCTACTTTATTTTATTATTAAAATATAAAAAAACACAAAAAAAATAAAAAAAAAACGCAAAAAAAATAAAATATGGCTTTTGTTACAGATTAACACGATCCATAAGGTTTAGGAATGTTCTCTAAAGCCGGAAGATTTACTTCTGAAAAATATATAGTATTTTAGAGAAAAGATGAAATATTATTTAATAAAAAAAGAGTTTTAAAAATTTCTTAATATCCGTCTATTAATCAATAATAAAATGTAAAAAGGAAAATTAATTATATTAATATTTTTTAATTTTTTTTTCAAAAATAAAATAAATGTAAAGGTAGATGAATAAAATGATAATATTTTAAAAACGAATCACTAATAAAGTAATGAATTAAAAGATAAAGATAATTAAAAAGAAGAAGAAGAAAACCAGCCGTTTTATAAATAAATATCTCGTGAAAAAATTTAACAAATACAAGTATATATAATAAATAAATGATACTATATAATCACAAAAAAATAAAATACATAATAGTCTATTAAAAATCCTCCAAAGCCTGTAGGTTATTATCATCCAAATATCAAATAATTGATAAGTAAAAAAAAATATTTTTTTTTTTTACTATTAAAACAAAAAAAAGAAACCCTTAATAAGTTTGGAATATATTAAATGTTTATAAAAGCAAACTCGAACGTAATAATTTAAGAGAATAAAATTCATAATAATAATAAAGATTCAGTAAGACTCTTTAAGAAGAATTCGAAAGGCCAATACCTGATAAATTATTAAAAAAAACAACTGGATTTATAGAATTAGCAAAATAATAATCAAGGTAAATAAATAAAAATATATATAAATAATAATAAAAATAATATAGAGGAAATGGTTTGTTTAATGCAAAGAATAATCCTCATGAAAAAAGATTCAGTATATTTTAAGAATCTTAATATTTTTCAAAATTAAAAAAAATCCCTACATTCAATATAAAAACATCATTAGGAAGAGAAGATAATAAAATATATTAAAATAAACAATTCGCCCCCGATTATTATCCAAATTATGAATACGGAAAAAAAACATTAGGATCATGTGGACCTGCTTTTAATAAAATTCCATCACGTAAAAAATTAGAAAAGCAATAAATTACTTATAATGAGAACTTTTTTGATTATGATAATTATAAAATGAAATCTAGTATATTTAAAAAGTATTTTTTTATTAATAAATTAAAATAATAAATATTAATTGTTATGTAATAGTCCTACTTGTCCAGATTTTAAAAAAATACTTCCAAGAGAAAGAGATCCTAATTCTCCGTTACCTAGCTTTATGCAAGTAAAATTATATATATATATATATATATATATATATATATATATATATAAATATATATATTATTATTTTAGTAATTTGTTAACTCGAGGACATAATTAACATGTCTTTCTTAAAAAATGCTTAAATAAAATAATTATTGCGATGGAAGATTTTAAAGTACTGAATCTTAATTTAAAGCTTTGAAAAAATAATAAACAAAATAAAATGATTCTGATGATTCTTTTGATTATGAAAACTCTAAATGATAAAATATAAATAATATACAATATAAAATTATTATCATGTTTGTTAGATAATAAAATAATATTTATATTCAATAATAATATATAATTTTTTTATTTTATTAAAAAGCTTTTTCAATAAATTAAAAGCTATTAATAATAAAAACCAAATATTTTATTAATTATAAAAAAAAAAATCAAAAAAAAATCTAAATATAATAAAAAAAATATCAAAAAAAATTAAAAAAAAATCAAAAAAATCAAAAATATCATAAAAATTAAGAAAATCAAAAAATTATTCAAAACCATAATTATAAAATAAAAGCTTTTAAATTTCAACTACTAATTACATAAATTAATCTAAATAATTCAAAACTTTGACTTTCTTAAAATCTTCCTCTCTTTTACATCCCAAGTATTCTAAAACAACATTACACATAATATAAATTACAATAATTTTCCCAAATTAAACATTCATTATTAAAACTTAGCTACAAAATTAAGATGCCCGTTATACACTAATTCATAATGTAAAAATAAATTTCAATTTTCAACTTAAAATATTTTCCTTTTATTTAAAAAGCTTAACAATTTCCATCAAAACTTACCAAAATAATAATCAATATAAGTTTTTTAATTTCTTTATTTTCTTAAAAGGACATACATAACTAGTTCTAAAGAAATAAGCCCCCTCCCCACAAAAATTATCTCTTCATCCAAACTTAAAATAAAAAAAGTTAATTCTCCATATAAATGTCCACATATAACCTAATTTTTATCTAACAAAATCCAAAAAATTAATAACTTATTATTTCCAATGTTAAATGGAAAAATAATAAATCAGCCTTTAGAAGTCTCTCTCTGTCTCTATCTATAAGTAATTTAAAAATTGAAATTCGAAGAAATACCATATGTATATATGTATAAAAAAGGAAATTATTATTGCTTTCTTATTTGGGCATTTATTTATTACTTTTTAATATATTTTTCTTTAAAAATCATAACTAAAATTCAAAATACTTGGAAGCGATACTTTTAATTACTTATTTCTTATATTTTTTATGAAATTTCTTTTTTAAAATTATATGTGCATTATTTGAGATAAAATAAAACTATTTTACTCCCTTTTGTTTCTATTTGTTTATATCATATACGGAATTGCTCAGTTAACTAAGAAAATCTGAAAAAAGTGAAAAAGTAGTAATATATAGATGAAATAAATACACTAAACCCCAAAATTGTAGAATTATTTAAACATTTAAGTATTATTTTTATTTACTATTTCTTAAATATTTAGGCTATAATAATTCAGAAATTAAAATTGTTAAAATATATATTCTTAGTCTTTTTTTTTGTGTGAAGTAAATATAAGATTATAGGAAAGATATTGAAGAAAAAAATAATTTTCATATTATAATGTTTTTAATAAATTTTATATATTCATTTAAGGGATAAAACTCGAAAAAAAAAAAAAAATTCTAATTATAATCAAAAATTAAATAAAAAGAAGCTTTTTTATATGGAATTTTTTTTTTTTTTTTTTGAGTAAATATTATTTATATTTAAATAAAAAGATATAATATTAAAATAAAAAGATATAAAATATAAATTTATAATTATTATTATTTATTTAAAAAAAAAAAACATTATATTTTTTTTTAAATCTAATTTTATTTATAAAAATCTATTTTTATAATTTTTTTGCAAATAAATCAAAATATATATTTGCTATTTTTTATTTTTTTATAAATAAATAAAAAAAGACATATAAATCCACTAAAAAATAGAAAAAAGAAAAAAAAAATGGAACAAGAGCCTATATAAACTTCAATCTAACCTAACTATTAGTAAAAAATAAAATATAAATATTCATATAATAAATTAACTAAAAAAAAGATGTAATGCACAATTATTGAATGACGTATGTAAACAAAATAAATTAAAAGCCGAAAAAGTATCAATATCAATTTAAAATTCTCCCAAAAATTCAATAGATATTATCCCATTAAATCAATTAAAAAAGAATCAACTCAAATTCGATTCTAAAGTATACGAAGATAATGCCAATAAAAATAAATAACTAAAAAAACATTGTCCTAATTATTCTTTAAACACCAATCCAATAACATCAGAAGGCCATACAGAAAAATAATTTAAGCCTTCCATAAAAAAAATAGAAAATAAAATCTCAGAATAAAAAGAATGGAAACCTTCTGTAATAAAAACACAACTTTCAAATAAGGAAACCTTAAATGATAATAATGAGTAAAAATAATTCAGATAAAGTACAAATGCAGTTTATGGACATTACAATACATAAACAACTGAATAAAAAGAATGGAAACCTTCTGTTTAAAAAGGAGAATTTTCTGATAAAGGATATATAAATAAACCAATTATAGAAGAAAAATGTTTTAGAAATAAAACTAATGCCGAATATGGACATTATAATTCTCATACTACAACATAAAAAGAATGGAAATCTTCTGTCAAGTAAAAATAAATTATTATATATATATATATATATATAAATATATATTATTATTAGAAAATCTGAAACTAAGTAAAATGAATGTCATATTTTTGATGAAGTTAAAAAATAATAAGATTAATAACCAAGAGTAAATTAAAATAATACTACTACTGAATAAAAAGATTGGAAACCATCAATTATGTATATATATATATATATATATATATATATATATATATATATATATATATATATATATTTATATATATATATTTATATATACAAATGTTTAATATGTTTATATTTATTTATATTATTTTTTATATTTATTTTTAATTTCATTTTTTTCTGTATTTTTTTTAATCTTAATCAAAAATAAAAGGCAAAAATCCATTTTTTTATCGCCTTTGCCTTTTTTGTCAATTATTTAATTTACAAAATTTACTGTAAAAAAAAATGCTTTTTAATATTTATATATTATAAATAATTATTATTTTTTCTTAAAAAAATAAAATTTAAATTTAAAGGAAAGTTGATTAAAAATAAAGTGATAATTACGAAATTTTTAATAAAAGAGGAATTAAAAAATCTGAATTTAGTTAATCAAGTACAAGTACTTAAAATCCTCTAGTTGGATATGATAAAGTATTTTAATTTTATAAAATAAAATTAAATTAAATTAATATAAGGATGAGCCTAAAAAAATATAGAAAAAAGCAAATAATAATTTAACATCAAGTGTTTTCTCATAACCTATTATATATGATTAAACTTTGGCTAGAAGTACTATTATTACTCAAAAAAATAAAGGAGAAGAAGCTAAAAATTTACTTAATTATGGATATTCTTTACCTTTTAATAAATAAATTGTATAAAAAAAAAAAATAGTTTTTAAAAATATATAAATAAATAATATAAATTAATAAATAAAAACATATAAAATAAAGGAAGTTACTGCAAAAGTTAATTTATATTAAGGAGGAGTAAGAAAAGGTCAGTAAGAAGTAACTTAAAAAGTTAACTTATAATGAAAGAAAACAATAATAATATTATATATAAAGATATATTATAAACAATATTATATATAAATATATATTATAACAAGACAATTTATATTATATTTTTTTTTAAATATAAATAATATTTTTTTTTATATATTTTTTGAAATATTTTTTTTATGTAAAAGTATTGCATTTTTTTTTTTTTTAATATTGTTGAAAAATTATAAATAAAAGTATTTATTTAAAATAAAAATTAATATTATATATATGTTTTTTTTTTTTCTTAATTTTATTTATTATTTTTATTTATTAAATTATATTAAATAAGTAAAATAAAAAAATGTTTTCTAAAAAAATTTAAGGCTTATTAACAATTGTTTTATTAGTATTTTGTGTATGTTTCTTATGTATTCACTTAAACTATAATTAAAATAATGATAATAATAATTTAGTATAAGATAATTTGTAAAAGCAATCTTTAATAGTCAACAAACAGAAATATTCTAAAAAACAAGAAGGAATATTAAAAAATAAAAAAATAGTTAAAAGTTTTTTAAAAAAATTGAAAAAAAGTAAAGAAATTGATGATATGGGAAACACAGGATTAAAACAAAAAAAAAATTTAAAAAAAAATGATGATGATGATGGTGATTATAGTATAGGACATATAGGACATAGACCTAAAAATATTTATAAAAAAAAAACAAAATAAAAAAAATAAAAACTGAAAAAATATTTATTTTATTATATTAAAACATATAAATTTTAATATTAATAATAATTATATATTATTTAAATTTTTGAATAAGTTTATATATATTTATATATAAATTATAATAATAAACTATATAAATTATAATAGTAAACTATATAAATTATATATAATTTTATATTTAAAAGCAAAATAAAAATGTTTATTAAATAGTAATATATAAATATTGAAATAAAAATTATTTTGTTTACTATTAATTATATTATTAAATATTTATTTTTAATAATTTTTATATTAAACATAAAAAAATATATATTTCTTTTAAAAAAAAAGGTTTTTTTAAAAAAATTAAAATATAAAAAAAGATATAAATATATATATATATATATATAATTATAAATAAACAAAATCTTACATAAGAATTATTTTTTCTATAATTATATAAGTTCAAATAAAATATGTTTTAAATAATTTTTATTTGATTAAAAAAATAAAAAAAAATCAATAAAAATTGAAAAATATTAATATTTTATTTTAGTATCAAAACATAGAATATATTATTCCTGCAATTATAATTCCTAATAATATCAAATATAAAAATGTATTACCAGAACCACTATTTTTAGCAATTTAATTCTCTAAAGGTATTGATCCTTTTTTTATTTATCCAACTAAATATTTTTCTAACATTTTTATAGCATTTTGTGAATGGCCTACTTCATCGAATTTTAATGTTGCATCTTTTCCTCCTAAATTTATTAATACATTAGGACCTCCTGGATGGTCATTTTAATATTCGGTTGGGTTATAAACTTTATTTTCTATTACAAACCATAAATCATCTTCTTTATTATGTTCTGCAACCTCACTCCATTCAATTTGTCTCAAATTTTAATCCATTTTTTTTTTTTTATTTTAAATATTTGAAAATAAAAAATAAAAAATTAAAGTGATAACTTTAGTATTTAAATTAATTTTATCATCACAAATTATTAAAATTTATTATATAAATTTTATAGTAAAATATTAAATCTATATCTTTTATTTTTTTATTTTATTTATTTAAATATATATAAATATTATATTTAAATATATTTTATTATTATTAATTTAAATAAATAAACATTAATTAAACATAAAAAATATATATAAACATTAAAATGAATAAAAATTCATAAAAGCTTATTTTTATTTTTTTTAAAAAAAAATTATAATATTTAATTAAAACAAAAAATATAATAATTCATAAACAATAATAAAATGGATTAAGATTTATAATAAAAATGGCAATAATTCAAATAAAAAGAAGATGAATATTTGAAAATAAATGATAAAGAAAACGAAAGAAGAATTAAATTATAATAATAACTAGTATTTATAAATATATTAATATAAAAAAAAATATAAAAAATATAAAAATTTAAAAGTAAAATCAATTAAATTTAGATGATAATCATTCTCAAAATTAAGAAGACGAAGAAATTGATGAATTTGGTTTAAATGAAAGAGAATTACAAAACGAAATAATGAATTAATCATAAGAAGATAATAAAGAAACAAAAACATATATAAAATAGATGTTATAAAGAATTCAAAATAAAGAAAATATAGACTAAATTAATAATGATGATAGTTTAGAATAGGAAGATATTGAAGCTGAAGAATTAATTTAATAATAAGAAGAATTATAATAAAAATTAAATAAAATAAAATAATACGACAATAAAAAAAATGAATAAATAACAGAATTAGAATTAACAATTGAAGAATAATGTAATATATTATATTTTTAAATTAAAAAAAGAAAATAATAAAAAAAGTATAAACAATAAGAATTTAAAGAATGAAAAAAGACGCTTTAATTTCAGAAATTGATACTCTATAAGACAAAATTAAAATGAAAGAAAATATTTTAAGTTAATTAAGTGAAAAAGGGAAAAATTTTGAAGAAGAAAACGAATCATATTAAATATAAATAAAAATGTTATAAGAAAAAACTGAAGAATAAAAAAAATAATAAACAATAATAAAATAATAAATAACTTAATTAGAAAAAGATGGAAAAAAAATATAAAATGTATGAATAATATATATATATATGAATTTATTAAAATTTTTATAACATGAAAAAAAAAAAAAATAGGAAATTGGAAATATTTAAAAAGAAATAAAAAAAAAGGAATGGAATTAAATAAAAAAGATGTCAAGTATTATATTTATTTTATTATAAAATAATGTTAAAATAAAATAAAATAGAATAAACAGATTGTAAGAAGAAATTGATAAAACTAAAATGGGATTATAAAATTTAAAATCAAAATAAAACGAAAAACAAGGAGATTTCAAAACATAGAATGAAAAATTATAATAAGTTAATAAAAAAATTGAAAAATAAATATAAGAGTTATTATAAGCTTTTAAAAATAACTTAGATTAATAGATATTTTAAAAAGATAAAAAAATCATTTAATTGCAGGATAAATATTCTAATATACAGAGGAATAATTTGTTAAAGCAATTGAAATGGGATAAAAAATATGAAAATAAAAATTAAAATATATTAATAATATATATAAATATATATATATATTAAATATATAATATATAATATATATATATATATAGTTATATATATAAATATTTTTTATATACATAATATTTATTTAAGATATTTTGTAATTTAATTATATTCGTTTTAACATTTTACTATTTTTTTTAGTAAATAAATATATTTTTTATATAATATCCTAAAAATATTTTATTTTCAATTTTATTAAACTCTAAAATGTTAAAAAAAAAGGAAGATCTTATTGAAATATTAAATATAGTTTTTAATAAAAAATATGTATCTTCACTTAAAAATTTTCTTCTTGACCTAAATATTAAAGATGATGAACATTTATAAAATGATTAAAAATATTAGTATATATTTTTTATTTAAAAATTAAATAAAATGATTTTATTTTTTTTATTAAAAAAGAACATTCCTTTAATAAACAATAACATGTAGTGAATAATATACACCTTAATTTTATCAAAAAATATAAATAAATCAACCTTCTTTAACAATCAAATAAGTATTTATAAATTCTATATATTTATATATTATAATAAAATAAAATTAAATTAAATAAAGGTAATTGATGATAGCATAATACTTATAGGAAATTAAAATTGTTATGTTTAATAAATAGGGACATAAACGAAAGGATTTTAGGTCGAATATTGTGGCAAAAATATGACAAGACATATTTTGTTCGGTGAGAATTTTAAATAATTTTATTCATAAATTGGTGAGGATATTTTTAAGAATTTCTTAATTGATTATATGGTAATTAAATTAAAAATTTATAATTATTTATAATTTACATACATTTAATTCTTTTATAAAAATAAAAAAAGACATTTGTAAAAGTCGATAATGATGAATATGTTTAAGTTTCTGGCTTATATATAGGAAATTACTTTAATAATTAAAAAAAATAAAGTATAAATAAATATAAAATCTTTATATAAATAAAAAATTATATAAAAGGAAACAATATAAAGAATAATAATAATAATATTAAAGAGAACTAAAAATAAAAATAAATAAACTCGTATTCCGATATTTAAAGATCTAAAATATTTTATTGTAATCATATGGGAAGATAACCAGGAATATTTAAGTCTTGTATATAAAATTATTTTTTATTTAATTTTTTTTATATTTTTTTTTTAAAAAAATAAAAGCTTTTTTTTTTAATTCATCAGAAAAAAAAAAAAATTAAATGTTAATTAATAGTTAAATATAAAATAAAATAATAATTAATAATTTTCAATTGATACACCTTAATAAATTGTAGAATAAACTCTTTAAAAAGAGCTAAATAGCTTTTATCTATTAAGATTTCCTACATAAGCAAATTAAAAATCAGAAAAATAAATATATAAAGATTTTTTAGTATAAATAGTAAACAATTTTCATAAAATAAATTTTAATTAATTATTAACCGAACATTGTAAATTACCTCCTAATTATAAATAATTAAAATAAAAAGTTTATAATATAAAATAAAATAAATAAAACGATAAATAAAGTATATTTTTTTTTTATATATATATTTAAATTTTTATTCTTAATACAAATAAAAAAATCAAGCTTAATCAACAGAATAAATATTTAATGAAATATATTAAGCCTAAGTTCCTTATAAAAAAATACATAGCTTATTAAAGTAAATGCTTAATTCATGCATTCCTTAAGAATTATTAGGAAATAATAACTTTATTACATTTATAAATAGTATTTATATATTTTTATTTATTTAAATAATAAAAATTAAACAAAAAAAGAATTAAAAGAATTCGTAAGTATGAAAAAATTTGAAAATCAAAAAGTATTAGACTATATATGTTTTATGGATATATTTGAAGTAAAATGGTTTTAGGATCCTTCTAATTAAAAAAAATTAAATAAACAAAAATACATTAGTCTTAAAAGAAATATTTTATCAGAAATACTCTCTTTTTTATTTAATAAAATAATTATTCCATTTATCAGATTTAACTTTTATGTAACGGAAAAACATAAATAAGGAAGTAAGATATTTTATTATAGAAAACCTATATGGATTTTAATAGCAAAATTAGCAATAACAAAAGTATTTTTTTATAAATAATATTTACATTTATTTTATTTTAATATATTAAAAAGCTTGAAGAAAAAAATTTGCAAAAATTATAAAAAATAGATATTTAATAAGAAGTTTATTAGTAATATCCGGAAGGTAAATTGCGTATAATACCTAAAAAAGGCTCATTTAGACCTATAATGACTTTTTTAAGAAAAAATAAGAACAAATAAATAAATCTAAGTTTAAATTAACTACTTTAAGATACATAATTAGTATTGAGAAATCTAAAGAATATTTTAGGCTAAAAGTTAGGTTATTGTGTTTTTGATAATAAATAAATATCTTAAAAACATGAATAATTTGTAAAAGAATGGAAAAATAAAGGAAAACCAGAACTATATTTTGTTACTTTAGATATAAGAAAATGCTATGATCTATAGATTAATAAAAGCTTTTGGAATTATTTGATAAAACAGATTTAATAGTATATTTTATATTTTTTAAAATAAAATATAACACATATAAATATTATAGGATTAAATTTATTTTAGTAATAAATATACACTTTTTTAAAGAAATAAAAGGCCTCTAATATAAACAAAATAATAAAATTAATCTTCCAATAATGCTAATTTCCAATGTTTTTTTAATCAAAAAGAAAGATAATTAGCATACAGCCTTAATGATTTAAATGGTGTATTAAAAGGTTATAAAGAACTGCATTAAGATTAAAGACCAATAATAATAATTAACTAAGATAAATAAAAATGTATAACAAAATAAATGATAAGGGAAAAATTATAACATATATGCAATAATATAATTATTAGTGTATTTATATATAAATATATATATATAATTTAATTTTTTCTTTTAGTTTAATAAAAATAAGTTTAGACTAAAATATGGAATTCCTTAAGGTCTTAATATATCAAGTGTTTTATGCTCTTTTTATTTTGCTTATTTAGAAGAAGAGTTTACTAGTTTTTTGAGAGATGAATAACTCTAAAAAGATAATATTAATTTATTAATGAGACTTACAGATGATTACTTATTTGTTTCAGATTCAAAATAAAATGCTATTATGTTAGTTGAATAGTTATTGAAATGCGGAGAAAAATATAGATTTTAATTTAACACGACTAAAATTTTTGCTAACTTTTAATTACATATATAAAATATTCATGTCAACTTATAAAATTAATTGTAATTTGAATGTTAGTGGATTGGAAAAAGTATTAATATGAAGAGTTTAGAGATAAAACCTATTTTTGTATAAAACGAAGAATGTAAACAAAACAAAAAATATCTTATTATTATTTAAAAATAAAAAAGAAATAATATATAATATTAATGTAAATCTTTAAATGAACAATATAAAAGCTTTTCTAAAAAATAAACTTAGAAGGTATATATAAATAAAATTTCAATAAATAAAAAAAAAGTTTAATATTAAATTAATTAATTGATTATTTTAATCCAAATATATATTCTATGGAAGGATTATGTGCACAACTTAAAATATAAAGTTATGTAAGAATATTATATAAATTATCTGTTAATATCACTATAAAAATTAAAAAGAGTTCTATCGTGAAATATTATCCTTTTATATAAAAAATAAAACATTATAATTACAAAAATTATACATTTTTGAAATAAAAATACGGTAAAAATTAAACACTAGAAAACTTCTTGTAAAGTAATAATATAATATATTATAAATAAAATAAATATATAAATATATAAAATATATATAAATATTTATATATATATTTATATATATATTATATTAATTATTTTTATATTTTTTTATTTATATTTTTTTTTTTTTTAAGATATAATTTTTTATACTGTATATGATGTATCTAAAGTACTTTGCTATTTATAATTTTAAGATTAATAGTAATCAAAACCTGGATTTTTACTTTATTTTTTGTAAAAATTTATTTATTTATTTTTTATTTAATTTATAATACAAAGCATAATATGGAATTAAATTACTAAGTTTTTTAAAAATAAAAATATTTTTAGTCAAGAATTTTATTATGAATTTAAGAAAATAAAAAAATAATTAATATAGAAATTAAAGAATGAAATTAAAAAATATGAAGACTCAAAAAATAAAATTAAATATTCTTCTAATTTAATGAAATATTTATCAAAATCTTTTAATTTTAAAAATAAAAATAATGATTTATATTATATTTATTAATATATACATATATATACAATTTATTTATTTTTTATTTATATATTTATATATTTTTATTTATTATATCATAATTATTATTTTATATTTGTATATATTTATATAATCATTCAAAAGTATAGTATTAATATGTAAAAGTATATCCTATCAACAATTATTTTTAAGTATCATCAAATAGTATTCCGATAGTATCGTTATTCTCCAAAACTCTCTTTGTATCAAATGCTTTTAATACATACCATCCTAGCGTATCATCATATTCTTTAATTTAAGTTCCATTACTACCTTTATTTGTTAAAATATACTCAAGTTTATTATTTTTTGGATTTATTTGTAGGGTAATAATAGCTTATGTTCTACTAATTCTATCAGATTATTTAAGTTTTGCGAGGCATTCATAAAACATTGTTCTTCCGAATTCAAATACTTGTTAATTTTCTTTTATTTGAATCGAGTTTTAATTTATTAGCAACGTGTTTGTGAATTTTTAATTTTATAATGATTTAAAGAAACATATTATACTTTAATCTATAAAAGGTGTTAATAAAAATTTAGTCACGTAGAATTATTTATTATTTAAAGAATTAGGTAAACTTAATAAATTATTGTTATTATTTATTTCAATATCAGAAATGTTTATATTATTGATATTATTTTCTTCTAGAATTTAATTATTAATAATATAATTATTTTATTATATATTATTATCATTTATTATATTATTATTATTTTATAAATTTTATTCTTTTATTTTTAGATTTTTTTTTTTTTCATTAATGTTATTATATTCAATATTAATTTAATTCGAATTCTCTTAATATTAATAATTATCAATAATATTTTATTAATTTATATAATTATATTCAATATTATTCTCATAATTATTATTATTATGGTTATTTTTATTATCGTTGTTATTTATATATGAATTTTATATATTTTCTTCATTTAAATTACTCTGATTATTTTCACTATTCTTATATTTATTCATATCATGTATATTTTTTATTATATTCATATTATTTTCCACTATCTCTTATTTTATATCTTCTTTTGTTTCGTTAATATCTATATTTTTTTCTTTATTATCTATTCCTTATTATCCATTTATTTCTATATTTTCATTATTATTATTATTATTAACATTTTATCTATTATTAATACTATTAAATTCATTCTTTTGATTATTATTTATTTAAATATTATTTATATTCTCATTTTCATTTTATTATTAATCATGATTTGAATTATAACTACTTTAGATTTCTACAATATCATTTTCTTATTTAGATTTTTCTTTTTAAAATGTATTTGTGACAATATTATTAATAGTAGTAGTATTATTATTATTATTATTAAAGTCTATTTAAATAGGACTAATATTATAGTTAAAATGATGAAGTTTTATTTTATTTTATTAAAAAAGTGTATATAGATGATCTTTTAATTATTCCTTTGGTTATTTTTCTAAATCTTATTGATCAATAAAATTTTCAATATCCTCCTCATTTTTTAGATAAATATTTACCTTTTTCTCCCCTTAAAATTTATTTACTTTTATTCTTAAAATATGTTCTTCCTTTCTTTCTAAATTTTCTAAATCTCTCTAAACTTTTTTCAAATTGTTTTTACTTTCACTGAATTCTTTAAAATATAAAGAATAATTATTCTTATATAGAACATGCTTTATTTCTAAAATCAATGAACTTATATCTTTGTTTAAATTAAACAATTTCTTCCCATTAAAACTAAACATTTCTTTAATTTTTCCCAAAAACCTATTAGTTTTACAAGAATATACTTCAATTATTAAATTATATTAATCCTATAAACGATTTCTCAATTTTTAACCTAATTCTAATCCATTTGCATTTAAAAGTCCTTCTATTTAATTTACATTTTCTTAAAAATCTAACATTTTTCTTTTCTTTAATTTTTTTTTTGAATTTTAATTATAAGAATAAATTTCTTAATTTTAATTATTATTATTAGGGCTTTAATTTACTTAGCTTAAGTTTAAAAGCTAGTCTTAGTTTGGACTTTAGTTTTTTTAATATTCTTATAATTCATCATAATAAAATTATGGATTTACTTATTTCCTGGAGTAATTATAAATAGATAAAAGCTCTTTCATTTAAAATTCACAAGTTATTATTTGTTCTTTTTTAGCCTCTGTATCTATACTAGATTTTTGGAGATTTATAAACTAAATTGTTTTTTATATAATATCTATAGTATTCATTTTTTTTATTATTTATATATAAGTATTTAATTTATAGTAAATTTTTTGATTTTTTTTTTAATTATTTTATATAATTATGAAAAAAAAAAATATTTGAAATTTGAAATTCAATTTTTTTTGTTTTTTTTTGTTTTTTGTTTGTTTTATAAAAAAAATAATAATTTTAAGCAAATAAAAACAAAAAATTTGTACAAACAAAAAGTTTCTAATAAATTAACTTATTTATTTTTTATAAAAAATAAAAAAAAATAATAAGAAAAAAAAAAATTATGAAAATTATATTTTTTTTTATAAAAACATAGAAAATTCATTATAAATATAAATAATATATAAATTTTTAAAAATTAAAAATCATCTTTATTTATTTTTTATTAATTAGGAATAAGAATATTAGCTTGTTTAAGACCAGCATATTTAGAAAATGCCTTTTATTACAAATCTTAATCAACTTTAAACAAAGGATCATAATTGGTAGTATCCTAATCAGTTAAATGTGTATATTTTGATTAGCCTTTCTTACCATAAGTACCTCTTCTTTTTTAAAGAATAGCAGGTAAAACACTTTTGTCCATTAATTCCTCACCAACAGGCATATTAAAATCTCTTTAAAAAACTTCATCCTCATCATCTTAATAAAAAGCACCCTTATGATAATATTTCTACATAAAATTATATTATCTTTATTGTTTTTTTTAATGTAATCCTAATTACTATAAAACAAAAATATTTAAATATTAAAATAAATATATCAAAATCTATTAAAAAATATACAACTATAAGAATTTAAAATAAAAATAAAATAAATATATATTAATAAAGAAAATTTTATATATATAAAAATATATATATATATATATATATATATATATATATATATATATATATATATATATATATATATATATATATATTATAAACTTTGTCTTCTTCTAAAATTTATTCATTTGTCATATTTCTTCTTCTTAATTTATCTTCTTCATCTTCTTTCTTTTTTTTAATCTTCCCTTGTTTTTCTAATTCTTTTCAATTCTCTTATTTTCCATTATTCATATTCATATGACGGATTAATATTATCATTATCATTTGGTAATTCTATTCCAATTAAACTTTTATTATCATTGTTATTATCATCATTTTACTCATCTTTTCTTATTGCTTCAATAACTAATTATTTAGTTTCATTTTTTTTCATTTCGTGAATTTTCTCTTTTTCTTTTTATAATGCAAGTTCTTCTTCTATAATTTAATTGTTTTATTTTCTTTCATTTTTAGGTATATATACAGGTTTCATCATTACTTTTTTCTCATTTTCATCTTCATCTTCATCTTTATCTTCTTCTTCATCATCTTCTTCTTCTGAATTTTCATCTTCTTATTCTTCACTTTAGGAAGATTCTTCTTTCGGTTAAATTTTTTCTTCTATTTTTTCATTTTATTTTTATTATTCTAGAAGCTTTGCCCTTAATTATGCTCTGTTTGTAATTTTGACTTCCTATTCTTAATTTTAAATATTTTTTCTTTCCATTGGTTTTTTAAATTCAGGATTTTCCTAAATAATTTACGATTATTAAACTTGTCTTCTTCTCTAAATTGCTTTTTGAACAGTTTCTATTTTTTAACCTTCATTTTCTTCTTCTTATATTAAACTTTCTATTTATTATAATCTATTATTTATTTTTTCACTATTTAAAGAAGAAAATGATTTTGCTTCTGGAAAAATATCATCTTCATCTTCTGATACATTTTATCCATATTCATTTATGTTTTCGGGTATTTTTCCTTTACGGTATACTTTTATTTCCTGTTTTTTTTATATTTAAGGCATCCTTAAATCACCCCGGTTTTTATTTAAAATTGAAAATGGGTCAGAAGCGTTTGACATTTTTTTTTTTTAATATATATTTAATTTTTTGTAAATATATATATATTTTAGTTAATTTTTTTTTATATTTATAATTTTTTTATTATATCTATTTGATTAATGCAATTACTATTCTTTGTTTTATATATTATATGTTTAAATTGAAAAAAATAGATGTTTATTTACTTTTATAGTTAGGATTTAATATTTATATATTAAAGGTAATATAAATTATAATATTTTTTATTTTTCATAGTTTAAATAATTACAATTTTAGTTAATATTATTTTTTAATAGTGAAGTATTGTTTATATTTTACTTTTCGAATATTAATTATGTCTATAAATAATTAATATTTTTATTTTCAATAAAAAATTATATTTATATTCAAAGTATTTAAATTAATTAAAAACTAAAGGTTATTAATAAGAATATTTAACAAATTAAAGGAAATTAATATCAATATTAGGAAATAATTAAAGGTAATTAATATAAAAAAAAATAACTATATTATTTAGTTTTTATATTTAAAACAAACAATCAAAAAGAATACTAAAAACATTAAAAATTAAACTATTTTAATATTTTATTTTCTTCGAAAAGTTATTTTATATTATATGTGTTATTTTAAAATTATTATTATTATTTCTAATATGTATATTTGTTTATATATTTCTTTTTAAAAGTTTATGTTTATAATATTTATTATTCATCATCTATTATTTTTAAATAGTTCCTATAAAATATCTTTTTATTGCTATATTAAAACATATAAATATATTTTAAATATTTATAATTTATATAAATAAAACAAATTAAAAATACTAAATAATTTATATAAAAAATTAAAATGAATAAATCATTAAATATATTAAACTCAAATTCAAATCAACTAAATAAGTAAAAACTATAAAAATAAATATAAATGATATATATCGTATATTTTATAAGCGATAATTTATATAAGGTCTTTCCAATTTTGTTTATTTATATAGAAAAATGAATTTTTGTATTACATATAAATCTTATATTTAAAATATTTCGAAACTATTTTTTACAAAGACTACTTATTCTATTTTATTTTTAGATAAATAATATCTTTATTAGATTTAAATATATATTTTATTTTATTTAGATTAATATTTCGTTTAAATTATAATTAGTAGAAATAATCAGATTTAATATCCATTATTAGTTTTATAAATGTTTTAATTATTTAAGATAAAAACTAAGAAATGAATTCGATAAATAATACATTTTTAAAATATGAAATAAATATTTTAGCAAAAATTTTTGAATAAATAGTTAAATTTAATTATTTAATTAAAATCTAAAATATAAACAATGTTTTTTTATTAATATATAATATTTTTTTTATATGTATATAGAATAAAATAATATATTTTAATTTTTCTTTTTGTATTTGATTAGAATATAAACACACTTACATATTCAATATTTTTAATTATATGAATTCTATAAAAAAGAAAAAATTATTTATTTAAAAAGATAAATAAGGAAAATTTCAATAATGGAAATATATAAATGTCCATATTTCCATGTTTTACCAAAAAAAGAAATAATTTTTTTTAGTCTAAATTAAATTAAGAATGTTATTTTAAATATCGTAAAATTAAAGAAAAAAACTAATACTTTATAATAAATATCTATGTTAAATAACTTTAAAAATCATTTGATTGCAAATATTTTAAGTCTTATATAATGATTATAAAAATTTGAATTTATAAGAGTAAATAGACATAGTTATTGATGATATATATATATATTATTTTTTTTTCTTTTTAGATACATTCCGAAAATTTCAGATATATTTATTTATTAATTAATTTAAACTAACAAAAATATAAATCTTCCTCTCTAAATATAATAGGGAATAAACTAAAAGTAGTATTAGCAATACATAAAGTACGAAATCACAAATATAAGTTAAAAAAAATCAATTAAAATAATAAATAGATAGTAAATTTATTATTTTTTAAAAAAGAAAGAATCTAAGAGTATAAATTAAGAAAGATTTATAATAATAATATAAAAAAATAGTAAATAATAGTATTAATGTATATGAAGATTTAAGAAGTTTTCTTAAAGTTGAAAAATTAGTTTAAAAAACAGGGAAAAAATAATAGAATTAATAATAAAAATAAATAAACTTAAAAAAACAAGACTATTAAAATTAGAATCATTATAATAAAATAATATATAATGTTTTTTATATATAATATAATTAAATATATATAATTTGCTCAAAACTAATTTAAATATAGATTCATATTTGTGATTGTTACAAAAAAAAACAAAAAATACACTTATAATATTTTTTTTGTTGAAAAAGGAAAATATTTATATATTTTTTATTTTTTTATTTATATATAAACTTATTATTAAATATTTAGAAAAAAAAACCAACAATAAATATATATATATATATTGCCTCCATATATAAAAATTCTTTATTTACATTTTTTTTTACATAAATATATTTTTTAAATAATAAAAAAGCTTTGATTTTTATTATTTCATTTCTATTTTATTTATATTGCAATAAAATTTATGAATTTTTGAATAAATTCTTATTAAGGTTTTATTTAATTATAAATTTTATTAAAATCTTCTTTTAAATCTTATAAGCAGTCTTTATTTTGGATATCTTATTAAAGAAAATTAATTGATTTGTAAACAATTTCTTTCCATTTAATTAAATTAGGATTAATTTGTATTTCTTTTAAAATACCAAGTCCATCAAAACATTCAAATAATCCAATTTTTTATTCCAATTTAATAGATAAAGTATCTAAATTAATTTATTATTTTTATTAAATTAACTTTTCAAACAATTAATCATCTAATAAAAAATCAATAGATTATCTTAAATCTTATAAAACACTATATATTTTATAGTTATCTTTAAAAAAGCTGTTCATATATGACATATTCTAATCATCGTTTTCAAATAAAAGATTATTAATTTTTAAATAAGAATTAATTATTTATATAATATATTAAATTTAATTCATTGTATTTGATTATATATTTAACATGTCCCTAATTAAAACTGTATTTTTTTATGTATGAATTTATATTTATTTTTAAAGTTCTTATTAGAATAAATTCATTTTTTATTACACAAAAGTTTATCTTTATTAATCAAATTCTAACACTGAATAATATTTCTGTAATATTCTTAATAATTTTTCAATTTAATGTTTATTTTATTAAAAGTTTATGCATTTATTTTAATTATCTTCTATTTCTAATTTAATTTATTAAGAAAGTCTTATATTAAAATTAAATTTTTTCCCAATATTAATTAATTATTCGAAAGCTATTTTTTTTTTTTAATAATTATTATTAAATAAAATTTAATTTTTAATTAAAAGGTATAAAAAATACTATTCATATCGTAAAGTAAACTATCTTTTAAAACAATTTAAAATACAAAATCCAATTTTAAATTTGAAATTATATTTTCCTAATTAAAAAGTTAATTTAAACTTTATTAAGTTTAAAAACATTCGGTTATTTTACTTCTAAGTAATTTTAAAGAAATTAAAAAGCCTTCTTATTAATTTTCATTTTAGTAACTATTTTATGTATATATAAAAAAAAAATTATATTATATGTATATATATATGTAAATTTATATATATTTATATAAATAAATATTTATAATAAATATATAATTTTTTATATATATAGTTATATATTTTTATAACGCTATTAAATCATCTAAATCAAATAAGTATGATATAGAAGAAAAAGCATTTTAATAATTTTTATCTAACCAACTAAACATATAATTAGCTGAATATATATTAAGTTTTTTCTTTTCTAATTAAAATCCATATCTTACAAGTGTTTCTGTATAAAACTTAACATTTTAATATAAAATGCTTTAAATTTTTTATTTTAAGGGTATAAATTTTTAATAAATTCATTTAATTCATCGATATTATTTTCTAATACTGAAGATATTAATAAATCAACTTTTTATTATTAATTAAAAATCATATTATTATTTCGAATTTATATTATTTATTAGCAAATATTATTTTAATGTTCTTACCAATATTAAAATAAAACAGAAATTTATAAAAGATAATCTTCAACACTAACTAATTAAGAAAACAAGCAAAAATCATATTAAATTTAATTTTATTTTAATTCTAAATATTATTATAAAAATAATAATATATTTAAATAACGAAAATATCTATATATATATATATATATTTATATATATAATATATATTTATATATATTATATATATTTATTTTTTATTATTTTTATATTTATTTATTTTCTTTATAAAATTAAAATTACATTATATATTATTTAATGCTTTTTAAATATTCTAAATAATAGTCGGAATTTAAGACTATAAAATAAATTTTTCTTAATCTACAATAAACTAGTAATTCTAAACATTTTACAAAACCATAATTTTTTCAATTAGAAAAACAACTAAATAAACATTATTTTTACATTCCATAACTTCTTAAAACATCAAATTTATATCTTAATTTTTATTACTTACATTCTATATAATTTTAAAATATTTCACATTTAAGTTTTATATATTTAGAAGTTATTCAAAAACATCATTTTAATAAACTAGGTATGGATTAGTTTTAAATAGTCCCAAAATTTACTTAGAATCTCTAATATTTGATATAACATCATTTTTACATTCTAGGAACATATTCATTTATTTTTCTAGTTTTATTTTAGGGAAAAAAACATGCTAGAAATGGTAAATATCATCAATTTATTTTTAAATATTTTCTATTAAAGACTCAATTTAAAATTCAATTAAAATGAATTCCGGAATCGATTTTAATTAAAGGATTTTATTTTGAATTTCATATAAAAGAAGTATTTATTATTAAGATTTTTACACTATAATTTTCTGATTTTATAATAAAAGTTCTTTTTTAAAAAGACTTATTATTTATTCGGTATTTTCCTTTAAATTTTAAACAAATTATATATCATTTTTTAACCCATTCTATATATAATCTAATACTTTTTCTAATTATTAACATTCTTATTTGTATTAAAATATCTAAAATAATATTTTATTTATTTATTTTTATCTAAATCCATAATAAAAAGCCGAATTTCGAATATCAATACATTTTTTAGAATTTCTTTTCATTTTTTTTAATAATTAAAATATATTTTTTAGCCTATTAAGGGTTTCTTTTATCATTTAAAAATTAATATTAGAACTATTGTTTGTTTTTAAAATTAGAATTCGAACTTACTATATTTCTTCTTTTATTTCTATCATTTTTTCATTTCTGTAAAATAACAGTTCTTGGGCTTAATTATAGCCTTCTTCTAAATTCTAATATAAGTTATTATTCAAATTTATATTTTCATCAGTTTCTTATAATAATTCTTATAAAGTTTATAAAAAATCTTCGATTAAAATTGACAAATTATCTTATATATCCAAATTTTTTAAAAAATCAAATATTTCGTTTTGTTTTTGTTATAATTTTAAACTGCTTTTATCAAACTATAAATGATTTTTGTATATATTTATTTCTTCGTTTAAATGTAAAAAATTTTATTAATATTTATTGTACTAATCTACAAATAAAGACTCGAATTCAAAATATTCATTTAGGTTTTTATCTTTTGACTTTTTTTGGATTTTTAGTTAATTACTAATATACTTTTCGTATATTTAAATATTTTATAGTATTAATTGTTTAAATTAATTAAGTAATTATATATTATCTCTAGTTATAACAAAAAATTATTAATTTTTTTTTTTTAAAAAAAAAAAAATGTTTTTTTTACAAAATAAATAAATTGATTTTATTACTTAAATAATAGTAAATCTTATTATATAGTTTATAAAAATAATCTTTTAGAGATTATATTAGAAGAAAAGTTAATTTTTTATTTTTAAATTTCAATCTAACATAAAATATTATGAAACTCAAAAAATATTTATTTTCTTTTTTATGAAATATTTTATAATTATAATTAATGTTCCTTAATAAATAAAAAATATTATAAATATAATAATAATATATATAATTAAAAATATATATATAAATAATAATATATTATATATATATATATATATATATTTATATATATATATTTATATATATTTTTTTATATCTATATCTATATCTATTTATATATTTACTTTTATTTCTGTTTTTATATTTTCAATTTTTAACAAAAGATTATCTTTTTAAAAAATTTATTAATATTAATCTTTTACTCTACTTATTTATTTTTCATTTATTTTTTCTTATTAAATATTATTTATAGATGATTATTATGTTAATTAAATTATATAATTATTGTTAGATTAATAATCTATTGAATTATTTAATTTATAATTACTTTATCTATTAGATTTTTGTGAATTAATTGTATATTTTGTTTAATAATTCGTATTTTGTGTATTTTCAATAGAGTTTTTTAATGATGATTAATAATTTAATTGTATGTTCGAATCTATAGATTATTCTTCTCCTTAATGTTTTTTAATTGGAGATGTGTATAAGCTATTTAAATTATATTTTTTTTAGTCTTTATCTTCCATTTTTTTTAATAATATAATTTTATGAGTTTATATTTGTTATAATTAATAATTATTGATAATTTTAATTTTTTTATTTATATTAATAAATTTTTATTGTTTTAATAGTATATATTTATTTTTAATCAATTTAAACTATTTTTTTGTTATAAAATCATAAATAAATTAAAATAAAATAAAATAATTATTTATTTTTAACGATTTTACTCATATTAATTTTAATTTAGTTATATTTTATTCTAATCATAAAATAAAAAATATAAAAAAATCAATATTTTTTATTTCATTTTTTATAATTTATTATTATTAAAAAAAATTAAAATTTAATAATAAAATATATTAAATAAATTTATTTAATTTATTAATTATAAATAAAAAAAAATCTTATTAATATTATATATATATATCCATGTATATTCGTAAAATATTATATATTTCTTAAATATTTATTTAAATAAAAACTTATTTATATTCATTTTTATATAAAATATATCTTTTTTTTAATTAAAATAACATGTAAAATAATACAATATGTTCATGTCCTTCAAAAGTATTAATAATGGGCGGTTATGCAATTTTATCTGATAACTGTGAAGGAATTTCAATAAGTTTAGATTAAAATTACTATACATATATATAACCAATCGATATTTTTGATTCCTAACAATGTTTAGATAAAAATTAAAAAAGTTAATTTTCAAATCTCATTAATTGAATTAAAATTGGGATTATATATTAGATTTTGCTTAAAAAAATACACTTATATATAATAAAATGATGTTAATATATTTTTAAATGCAATAGTATAAATAATATTGGACGAAAACTTAATATTCGAAGAAAATATATAAATAAATATTTACCACGACAATAAATTCTTCACATTATAATAAAATAACTCCAAAAAATTTCAATTTTTTTCATAAAAACCTTCTTCTAAAACCGGTTTAGGTTCCAGTGCATGTCTTTTAGTTTCCATTTTGGGAATTTTATTGCTTAAACATGAAAATTTTTGCGAAAATAATGATTTATTTACTTCAAAACTTCATTATTTAGCCCAAAAAGCTAATAATTTAGCCCAAAAAAAATCGGAAGTGGCTTTGATATATCCACTAGTATATATGGAACATAAATATATAAAAAATATGGAAAAAAAATAGACTAAAACAGTGAAATATACACACTGAATTTCAAAAAATTTTAAATTCCATAATAATTAAAAATCATAATGATTGATTTTTAAATAGGATCTGACACTAGAATTTTGGCTGGAAAAATAAGTCTTTTTCTTAAATAAAACTAAGAATTTGCGAATTAATTTTTTACTTAAAATAACCAATTTGTGAATTAAATTAGTTAACTTTTTGATAAAATAAACAAGGAAAATACATCTATTTCTCAGTTTAAAAATGAATTTAAATCAATAAATATTTAATATAGGAAAATGTTCAAAAATTTAGGATAAATGGTTAATGTAGATACCGAACCAGACCTTTTTTCACATTTTCTTGATTAAATTTTAGATTTTTTTCAATTTGTGTATTATGCAGTGTGCCCGGGAGCTGGTGGATATGATGCTATCTGTTTGTTAGTAGATTAAAAGTAAGATATCGATTAAATTTAGGCTTTTTTAGACGTTTTTGTACAATAATAAAAAAATTAGATTTAATTTGCGTTTTTAAGTGATATTTAAATTGCTTATAATGGATTTTAGGTATTAGATAAAAAATAAAGGGAGATTTTTTTTTAGAAAATATGAAAAAAATAAAGATAAAAAAAAAATTAAATTAATTATTATAAAAATACGTAAAATTATTAATTTTTTTTCTATAATATATAAATATAAATGATATAAATATTATAATTAATTATTTTTAAATATTTTTTTTTTTAAATTATTAGTTTTTTTTTTTTTTTTTATATAATATTAAAAATTCAATGTCTTCTCCAAAATTAGTAAAAAAAATAAAAAATAAAATAAAATAAAAATATATTATTAAGAATAATGTTTAACTAAATAAAGAAACAAATAAAGTTTTATAATAAATAAATAATAATATATGTGAATTAAAAAAGTTTCAAAGTGTAAAAAAAATGTTTAATTTTGTAATTTTTGTTTAAATTAATTAATTTAATAAGACAGATGATGAAATTATAAATTAAATGTAAATCTAAAGTGATAAATTGAGTTTATAAATTTAATAATTAAGATAATATATGTTTATAAATAATATAAAGTATGATAATTTAAAATTTATTGAATCTCAATAATTAAAAAAACAATAATAAAATAAAAATATAAATAATTTATCTTAAAATAATACAATATAAGAAAATAAGGAAAAAAAATTAAATGAATAATCTAATGTAACAAAAAAAAATTAAAAAAAAGAAAAATATTAATAATAAAATTAATAAATATAATAATAATAATTATAATCATAATAATAATCATAATAATAATAATAATAATAAATTTAAAATAATAATAATACAAAACTTTCGAATTTGCTTAACGAAATTCTAAATGATAGAAAAAAATAATAAAATTAAGTTAAATAAATTATTAACAATAAAAAAAATACAAATAATAATTGAATTATTTATTACATTTTTTTTATTTAATAATAATATTAATCTATTTTATTTTTTTAAAAATATATATTATAATTTTTATATTCATTAAAAAAATTAAATCAATTTATTAATGTATTATAATCATAGAATTTTTTTTAAATTTATTATCCTCAAATTACATATATATTTTTATTTAATTTAAAAAAATATCTTAATTTTAATAAGTAATATTTTAACACAAATATTATATTTACAAGCTTAACTAAAGTATTATTATTATTATTATAAAAAAATAATTAATTGATATAATTATTTAAAATACCATCAAAAAAAATATTTATTTCTATAAAATATTAAAAAAACTAATTTTCAAAAAAAAAAAAAAAAAAATGAATTAAACAGAAACAGAAACAGAAACCCGAATCGGTTATACAGCCACATAAACAGATGGGTTTATAGTGTTTCCCAGTAAAATTGATATTAATTAATATATGATAAATGGAAGTTTAGATTATAGTAAATGCAATTTCGAATGCAGGATAATAAAATAAAAAAAATTACTTACAAACAAAATAAAATATTCTTATATGTTAAACGAATTTTTTATAATTTGTAATGTAAGGATTTAAAATAAAAATATATATTTTAATATATCTATTTTTTTTTTAAAAAAAAGGAACCATATAAAAAAACTCCTGATAAAGTTATTGAGTTAAAGCCAAATAGTAAAGTAATTTGGATTTACGATAAATAATAAATGCCATATGTTTTAAGAGGTTTTATATTAGTAGTAGGGAAAAATTAATACAAATATTTGGCAGAAAATATAGTTTTAACGACATTAAAAGGAATTTTTAGTTAAAAAATTTTCTAAGCAAAATTTTAGGATGAATATGAAATAATTGCTTTAATAGGAAAAGGTAATTACGCAAGAGTAAATTAATAAAAAAAATATTAAACAATAGAATAAAAAAAATTATATAATATATAAAATAGTAAGATATATGAATAAATAAAAAATAAATATATATATAGAATTATAATTAATATATTATAAATAATTTAGTACAAAAATATATTCAAAAAAAATATAATAATTTATAATTTGTAATATTTATAAATACATATATCTTACAAATACAAAATATTTCTATATAATCAAAAATATAAAAATAAAAAATATAATTATATTTAAATAATAATTATATTTATAAACATTTTATTAATTATATAATATATATATAAAAAAAATATTATATAAATATAATTTTTATTTTGTATAATAAATTTAATATAAGGTTTATTCAGCTAGATAAAGAATGACATAAAAAAAATTTGCAGTAAAATGTTTTGAAAAAAATAAATTATAAGAAACAGATAGAGGAATGGTAAATTTTATATTTTAAAAAAAAAAATATAAAATATCTAAATATTTAATTTAAATTAATTTAAAATAAAAATAAAAAATAATTTATATATATAAATTAAAAATAAAACTATGATTTTAATAAAATGAAAAAAAAAATTAAAATTATATAAATAATATATAATATATAAAATATATATTTAAATTTATATATATAAATATATATATATATATTTTTTTTTATCATTTCTTTATTTTTATATAAATATATCTTAATATCTAAAAAAGATTTATAAAATATATATTTTTTTATTTTTCATTTATAATATTATTTAATACTAAAAATCATATAAAATATACAATATTTATATAATACAATGCTATATTTATTTTTTATATTTATAATAGCTATCGTTATATAATGAATTGAAAGTAATGCGAAATATATGTGATAATCCAAATATAATAAAATTATATGAAACATTTGAAGGTGAAAATACATTTTATTTTGTAATGGAGATCATTGAAAATTGTACCTCTTTATATGAAGATGTTAAAAAACATTCTTAAATTCCATATTAGGATATTGAAATTATGTAAATTATGAAAATGATATTAGAAGGTTTAAATTATATTTCTTCTAAAAAAATAATGCATAGAGATTTAAAACTTGAAAATATTCTATATTTAAAAAAAGACTAATAATAATATTTAAAAATTGTCGACTTTGGTTTAGGTAATTTTTGCGATGAATACCCTTATTTATTTCCTAAATGTGGTACACCTGGATTCGTAGCACCAGAAATAGCTAATTTAGTAGATAAGACATCAAAATATTCTACAGTATGTGATATTTTTTCAGCTGGAGTAATTTTTCACATATTATTAACAGGAAGAGCAGTATTTACAGGCAATAAATTTAACGATGTATTACAAAAAAACAAATTGTGTGAAATAGATTTTGACAAAAAAGAATATGATAACCTATCTATAAGCGCAAAAGATTTACTATAATAAATGCTTGAAAAAGATCCTTCCAAAAGAATCTAAGCTTCCTAATGTTTACAACATTAATATTTCCATGTTTAGAAAATAAAAAAAATACCCTCTATAGATAATATAAAATCACTAAATTAAATTGAAGATATAGATTAATTAAGGGAAAAAGTATAGACTATGTATATTAAACCTTTAAGAATACCTTATTTAATTAATAGTAATAATGATTAGGACATATCCTCTTTCGTTAATTAAGATACAATTATTACAAATTTTGAAAAGAACAATTAGGATATAGTTTAAAGGAAAAAATCTAGTCTTGTGTATTATACAACAGGGTCTTTAGAATAAGATTAACTTTCAGATAGTAATAATTTGATAAAGCATAAGCTTTTCCTATATAATTAAGGTTCTAAAGAATAAACACCAAGTATTTTATTTTAATTTTGTTTAATTATTATTATGTCTTTTTTAAATTTTATTAAATAGATGGATAAAATAAAGAGGAAATTTAAGAAGTTGAAGGAGAAGATGATGAATAAAAATAATAAGAAAAACATTAAGAACATTAGATGGAAGAAAAATAAATATTGGATAATATAAATGAATTATAATAAGAATAAATATAAAATTTAGAAGCTATTACAAACTGACATTTTACTTTATATTTAATTTTCATTTATATTAAATTTATTAATTATATATTTTTTTTATATATTTTTATATCTAAATAAAATATATATATATATATATATATAATTATAATAATATTTTTTTTTAATTTTTTTATTTAAAATCTTAAAAAATATTTAATAAATATATTATATATAAAAAAAATATAATTAAATATACAAAAAAATATAATAAAAATAAAAATAGTATAGGATATTTATATCTACTAAAAATTATATAAAAGAAAAAAAATAAAATAAAGTAAAAAAAAAAAAATAAAAAGAAAAGAAAAAAAACTAAAATTAATAATAATAATAATAATAATAATAATTATAATAATAATAATAATAAAAATAATTATATCAATAATTTTTTTTTTTTTATAGTTTGAGTTAATAAAGATATAGATATAAATACATAAAATTAAAATTAAATTAAATAATTTATAAATAAAAAAAGATTAATACTATATCAAACTTAACTAATTAGTATAATTCAAAAATTTATATAAAATTTCATTAAAGAAAATATATTAATTAAAAATATATATATTATTTTTTAATATTTTTTAAAATATATCTTTAAAGTTTTTTTTAAAAAAACACAACAAAAACGTGGTGAATTTTTTCAAAAAAATAAATAATAATAATAAATTATTTTAAAAAATATATTTACTGATTAAATATACTCATAAACAATAAACTAATGTCAAAAAAGAACCATACATTTACCTTCAGATTTTATTAAGTTTAAAATGAATTTGGTTAATAGAGAGATTAAACATATAGCTTTTAACTATAAAAGAGTGTATATTAGATATTTATATAAGGTATTCGTATAAAAAGAAATAATTTACTTAAAATAAATGATAAATTTAATAAAAAGCATTTAGTATAAATATTAAAAACTAAAAGTTAAAGAATTATGATTTATCTATTTAATATAAAAATATAAAATAAAAGAAATAAAATTATAATAATATAATAAGCAGTATAAAAAATTTTTTTATTTTATCACACGAATGTATAAAAATATAAATTATAAAATATCTTTTACAATAAATTATTTAAATTAATATATATCATAAATAAAAAATATACGCATAAAAAAATAAATGTAATAATATATATATTTATATATATATATATATATAAATATTTATTAAATTTATACATTATAATTTCTTTATTTTTTCAATAAAAAAAAATTTTAGTATTCTTATATATTTTATTTATATTTAATTTTATGAATAATATAAACTTATATTTTAGATTTATAAATTTAAATATAATGTATATAATAAATAATTTTATATTTAAATATTTATATTTTATCATATTAAGTTTTTTTATATTTGATTATTATTTAATATTTAAAATAATATATATATTAGTATAGAATTACTTTTTTTTTTATTATTATTTTTCCCATATTAATAATTTTTATATTTTATATATTATTATTTTTTTTATATTTTTACTCTTTAATATACTAGTTATTATCTAATCCTGTTTTCTAGATGCCATTGTTTGATATAAGTATGAATGTAAATATAAAAAAATGATTATTTTTACTAGTTTTTATTTCCGACCTTCTAGAATAATTAACTATTAATATCATTATATTTTATGGTTAGCTTATTATTTTCATAATGTTTTTACATCAACTTTATAAAATAAATTAATTGAAATTTCTTTTTTTTTAGATTATAAAAAAATGATTTTGATACATTTTATTCACTTAATCTAATTGACAATAATACTTTTTATATATAAAAAATAATTCCTGGAGATATTTGTTTAATTTAATATTTATATAATTGGGAGACTTATAATATTTTAAAATCATATTAAAAAAGATTTTTTATTATTAATTAAAAAAACTTTAAATTAAACTTAAATATATATTAATATCTCTATTTTTAAAATATTAAATTTTAAACTATATAATATCCTAATAAACTATATTAACTGTATATTTTGAACAAAAATTTTTAAAAAATCAATTTTTTCATATAAAATTTTTATTATTCAATTTATCGATTGTTTTATTTCTTATGTTATATGATTTTTTATACTTTTTATAGATCTTTTAAAATAAAATTAGCTTTTTATTCTTCTTATTATAATAAAATATCTAAATCTTTTATCAATAACCTTAATTAACATTTGATTTCAATTTTTAATAATCATAATAAAAAAAAGTATTTTTAAATAAGTTTAAAGAAATAAGTAAAATAATATCAAAATAAAATAAAATAGTTTATAATTTAAGAATATAATAAAATAATTATAAATAGTTATTTATTTTAAAAAGAAAAGTTCTAAAAATTCCTCTTAAAAATAAAAATATAAATAAAAAAAACCAGAAATTATATAATTATATTATAAAAATCTATAAATAATCAATGATTAATTTTTTCATATTTCCAATTAGTTTCTCCATCAAACCTTAAAATAAAATCATGGAATTTTTTTAATTATTCAACTCTATGAGAAATAGTAAATAAAGTAATATTATTAATTCTACAATAATCATATAATTAATGTTCAACATCCATACTAACAGCACTAGTACATTCATCTTAAAATAAATATATATAAAAAATAAAAACATATAAATAAATTTAAATAAAAATATATATATATAAAAATAAATAAATAAATAAAAAATATATTTATATATATTTAATTAATATATACATATATATATTTTATATATATATTAAATTATATTTTATTATACCTAATATTGCAAATTTAGGTTTATGATAAAACATTCTTGCCATAGAAATTCTTTATTTTTCACCACCAGAAAGTTTATCATACCAATCTCCTTCAGTATCAAACTAATTAGGTTCTCTATTTACTATATATTCAAGATTTACATGTCTTAAAAATTCTTTTAATTTTTCATCAGATATTTTTTTTCTTAACATATTTAATTTAGTATCTGGATAAATAATTTAATCTCTTAATGTTCCTGAAGGTAAATAAGCTTTCTAAGGTATATAAAACAAATCTTACAATTAAGGACTAGTTAAAGACCCAGCAAATATAGGCCATAGTCCTCCTAAAATTCTAAAAAGTGATGATTTACCACATCCATTAGGACCAGTAACTATTACATTTTCCCCATGTTTAATTAATAAAGATATTTATTTTGATAATTTCTCACCATTAGGGGTAATAATAGGTACCTTGTCAAATATTATACAATCTTAACTTTCATGAAGCTATTTTTGTTTTTTTATAAAAAAATATTTTTTTATTATATTTTTTATTTTTTACATTTCCAGTACTAATATTAACCATTTAAGGTTTTTAAGTATCTTTAAATCCGAATTCTTTAGCTGAATCAACTAATTTCCTCTAATACTATCCATTTTACAAATCTAATAAAACATCTCTAATTTCACTCACAACAGTCGTATATCCTGCCAACTCTTAAATTTCCTTATAAGAAATAACTAATCTTCCAATAGCTTTTGCTAAATTAATTAAAAGCGAAGAGTTTCTTACATAATCTCTAGTTATGGTAGACGGATCATTTCCTATACTCTTTAAATACTCCTATGATCCTGGTCCAAATACAGGCAACCCTAAAACCGCATAACCTACCATTACAGCCCCATATTTTACTAACATGGAGTCAAAAGTACCCATATATAGTCTTTTAGTCATTAAGTTTTCCTAGTGTTTAATAAGCTTTTTAAATGAATTTCCTACACGTTCTTTTTCCCACTAATTACCCTTATAAAAGGCTACTTCTTCACAATGATGGACTAAATCAGTATAACAATGTCTATATTCACCCTCGTTTCTTTAAGCTATGGCTGTTAATTTACCGAAAGGGGGAGATACAAACTTAATTACAGTTCCGGATAGTAAATACCATAAAATGACTATCAAAGGACCTCTATAACCTACTAATTCAGAGAGTTTTTTGGAAAACAAAAATATGTCTAAAACTGGTTTTGTGAAATTCGAGTAAATTACAGATAATGAATTTGCCCATTTTTCTATATCAGATGTTAATCTCTAGTCTGGATTTACAACTCTTTAGTCTAAGTTTGTCAATTGGTAATTTGTCATCCCTTTTAAATATAAACCGCATAAATCTTTCGTTAATTCAGTACGGAAATGTATCGCTAGTCTTTTATTTAAAAATTCTAAATAGGAATTTACAAAAGAGGCTGGTACGGCTATTAGGCATAATTAAATAATCTTTTTTATTTTTTTATTTATTTATTTTTAATATTTTTTTTATTTTTTTTACTCTTTTAACAAATAATTAGAAATCTAATTTTATTATTGCTTTTACAATTAAACCATTTGCACTGGCTATGTATATGGATAAGTATGTCCTTAATATTAAAAATATTGTGAGAATTACTATGTCTTTAACTGCCGCATTTTTCAATGAAGGAATCACTATTTTCAATAGTTCTTGTATTCTCTTTAAAAATATTAAATCTACATTACCTTTTCCGGATTTTTTTAGGTTTTTCTCTCTTTATACTTCCTTGTCGATTTCAGCACTTCTTGATGATTTTAAAGCTTTTAATAATGCTAAAATTGCTAGAATTGCAGATATTGATATTGCCTTTTAATTATTTTTTTAATATTTTTTTATTTATAATTCTATATATATATATATTATTATTATTTTTTCTTTCATACTTATCTTTATTTATTTTTAAAGAAAAAGTTTATGAAATCTTTTGATAAATTGATCCATAATTCATCGTTTTTTGGTAATATTTTAGACTATATAGCCATTTTTTTTTATTTCTTATTTTTTTAAATATTATATTTATATTTATATTTTTAATTTTTTTATAATTTTAATTCTCTAGTATTTTTTTATTTTATTTTATTTTTTATTTTTTTAAGAATTTTTAGATATTTTTTTAATTATGGCATTAAATATTTTATTTTATATTGCATTTAAATATATATAAAAATAATATTATTTTTTTATTAAATATTATTATAATTTCTTCTTCTTCTTATAAATTTTAATGTTGAAGGATTAAAAATAACCTCTAATACACATATTTCATATAATATTTGTTTATTAATTTCATTTTATAAATCATTAAATTTTTAATATTAATCAATTAATATATTTTATAATATTTTAAATTAAATTAAATATTTATATATGTCCCATATTTTTTCCCAAAAAAAGTATCTTCTTATTATAATTATTATAGAGAAAAAAAAAATATTATTAAAATAAAATAAATAAATAATATAAATTTACATTTATATTTTTTGGAAATAAAAAATAAACAAAATATTATTTTTTAATAAAAAATTGTTTAATTATGTAAATAAATAAAATAATATTTAAATTTTAAATAAAAAAAAATATATATAATAAAAATATTAACAAATTAAAGAAATATAATATATTATTTTTAAAAGTTAAAAATTTAAATTTTTATAATAAAAAAAATATAAAAAAAATTAATTATTAATATAAATAATTAAATAAAAGTTAAAAAATATATATAAATATAAATTAAAATGTAATAAAGTGTATCAACAGGTCCAGTAGTAAAATATAAAATCGTATTTTTAGGTGATTAATCAGTTGGAAAAACATCAATAATAAATCGTTTCATATACGATAATTTTACAGGAAGTGAATAGGTTTTAATTTTAATAACAAAAAAATAAAAAATAAAATAAAATAAATAAAGCCAACAGTTGGAATAGATTTTATATGCAAAACAATTTCATTAGAAAATAAAACATTAAGACTTTAATTATGGGATACTGCCGGATAGGAACGTTTTAAAAGTTTAATTCCAAGTTATATTAGAGATTCTAATGCAGCAATAATAGTATACGAAGTTATACGAGTTTTTATTTATTATTTTTATTATTTTTAATTATTTTTTTATTTAAAAAAATAAAAAGATTAATCTTCATTTAATAATTTAAGTAAATGGATAGAAGAAGTTAAAGAAGAAAGAGGAAATGACGCTTTAATTTTTGTTTTAGGAAATAAATCAGATTTAGAAGATAGGTTTACAAAATTATATTTTTTAATAAAATAAAAATAATATATATATATATATATATAGAAAAGTTTCTACTACAGAAGCTACATAAGTTTTAAAATAATTTGGTTTGAATGTTTAGGAAGTTTCAGCAAAATCAGGTTAAAATATAGGAACTTTTTTCAAATAACTATCATATGCATTAAGCGGTGGTTAAAATAATGAAAATGATAACAAAAATTAATATTAATAACAAAATTAAGGATAATAATAATAACAATAATAATATGGAACATAATTAAAAAATCCTGATTAAACATAAAAAAAAGATGATAAAAAATCAGGTTGTTGCTGATTATTAATGAAAATAACAATATTATAATAAAAACTTTTATATATATATATAAAATATATATATTTTTTTTGTTTTATTTTTCATTTATACATTCAATTTATTTATAATGTTTTTTATGTAATTTTTCTTTTATTTTTTCAAACTTAAAAATAATAATATTAATAATTTTTTTATTTTTTTATTTAATTTTTATTATTTTTACTAAAAAAAAATTTATTAAATTCATTATTTTTATAAAATTCCAAAAAAAAGATTAAAAAAAAAAATAAGGTTTTTAAAAATTTAAATTATTCGTAATAAAAAAAGTCAAAATCAAAAATTTTTACATTAGCCTAGTTTATAATATAATGTATTTTGATTAGAACAAGCTTAACAAATATCTTTATAATCTATTTCGTTTCCCTATATATTTATAGCACATATATTATATTATTCAAAATTTTAGCAATCTTGTTATTATCTTAATTTAGGTTAACAAAATTAAATCTATTCATCATATTTATTACATAATCCTGATGCATAAAATAGTGTTTTAGGAGAATTAGATTCTTAGCATGCTAACCATTTATTATTGAATTGTTTTCTACATTATTTATTATTACAAGTACCTTCTATAATAGCACATACCGGATGTATTGTATCTAATTTTTTAATAAACTTAAGTTTTTAATGACATTCTAAAATAATAATACTAGATAAGGTAAATTAAATAAATATTATGAAAAAAAATATTAATTTCATTTTTTTTTTTAAATCCTTTATTTTTATTTTATAGTTTTTATTGAAAAAAATAATTTTAAATTCGATAAAATAATCATAATATTTAAATTATACTATTAATTCAATAATTAAAAAGACGTTATTTCACTCAACAATTTAAATTTGACATTATGTGCGAATTTAAATTATAAGATAACATTAAATTTTGAATAAACGTAGTTATTAAATATAAAATATTATAATTATATTTTAAATATGTTTATATTATAAAAAAATTAATTAATTAATAAATAAAAATTGAAATTTCAATAAAAATATCGCGAAATAAAGTTTCTTAACAATAAATAACTTAAAAAATGATGATTTTTATTAGTAAAAAAATTAATTTAAATTACAGTTTATATAAACTTATATAAAATTAAATATTAAAATTTTTAAAAAATATAATAAATATTTTTAATAATTTTTATTTAAATTGAATAAAAAATATATTTTATTGTTATTATATAAAAAATATGTATATATATTTTTTTAATTTATTAAATTATATATTATATTATTTATTATTATTAATATTTTTATTTGTAGTTATATTTTATTTATTAAAAAACATAATAAATTTTAATTTAATATAATTATTTTATTAATTATAAAAGATTTTTTTTTTATAATATATTATTTATTAATAATTTTTATAAGTTAATTGTTTATAAAAATAATTGTATATATATATATATATTAATAATAATAATTTATTTTTAAAAAGTTAATGCATTACATAAATTTATATATTTATTATAAATATAATATTATAATTTAATATATTTTATTAATATATAATATTTTGTTATTAATTAATATTATGCTTTAATTATTTATAAATTATATTAAACTTTTATAAATAATATTAATTTATATTTTTATAATCAATAAGTTTTTAATATTTTACATTAATATATTTAATTTTTTTATTAAAAGTAATAATAAATTAAGTTAAAATTTAAGTTTATATTAGATTTTTTTTTTTAATTATACACTTATTAAAATAAATAATAACAAAAATTTAAAATGTTATTATATTATAATTTAAAATAAGCAATTAGTTATTTTAAATTTTATTATATTATTAATAAAAATATGTTTTCTGAATTATATTTTAATGTATTTATTATATTTTATAAAATGTAATATTTATAAATAATAAATAAAATTATTAACTTGTATTTATTTTACAAAATCAAAATTTAATTTAGATAAATATTTCAAATTTATATATCATTTTAATAAATTTTAATTAAACAATCTATCTTTAAAAAAACAATATTTTATTTAAATTTTATAAAATAAATATATAACTTTTTTTAAATTAATCTTTTTAATTTAATATTGTTAAAGTTATAATATTCGTAATTTAACAGATAATCTATTTATACGTAAATCTTTATATCTTTTTTAAGTTATTTAATTTTATTAAAAAATCTTAATGATATATCAAAGAAATTTAATAACAATTTTATAACTAATATAAAATGAAAAAAAAGATAATAACAATAATATAATACAAAAATTAATAAAAAATTTAATATTAATAAAATAATAAAAAAAATATAGAGATAATCAAAAAGGAAAAAAAAAATAAAAAAAAAATATTAAAACAAAATTATTAAAACTTACAAAAAAAAAAAAAAAAAGCATAAAAATTGTCAAATTAATGAGTGAAGAAATCGAACCTCATATATTAAGAAAATTCGAAATAATATAAAAATTAGGAAAAGGAGCATACGGAATAGTATGGAAAGCGATAGATCGTAAATTAAAACAAGTTGTAGCTTTAAAAAAAGTATTTGATGCATTTCATAATCCAACAGATGCTCAAAGAACATTTCGAGAAGTAAAAAAATATTAAATATAAATGAATAAAAAATATAGATAATTTAAATAAATATATATATATTTATATATATATGTATATATATTTATAAATATATATTTATACACATTTTTTTTATTTTGCAATTTTTATTTAAATATACTTAATTTTTCATAAAAAAAAATGTTCTTTATTTTTTTATATTTTCTTTTTTTTTAATAAATTGATTTTTTTTTAAATTAATTTAAAAATATATTATTAATTTTAAAATGTTTTATAAATATTAAATTTTATAGGTTATGTTTTTATAAGAATTAAACGGACATGATAATATAGTTAAATTATTAAATATAATAAAAGCTGAAAATAATAAGGATATATATTTAGTTTTTGATTTTATGGAAACTGATCTACATGCAGTAATTCGAGCAGATATACTCGAATAAATTCATAAAAAATATATCATGTATTAAATTTTAAAAGCATTAAAATATATGCATTCAGGAGATTTAATCCATAGAGATTTAAAGCCTTCAAACATTCTCTTAAATAGCGAATGTCATGTTAAAATTGCAGATTTTGGACTTGCACGCTCCGTTGCAACAAATGAAGAGGATGATCCTCCTGTTTTAACAGAATATGTTGCCACAAGATGGTATAGAGCTCCTGAAATATTACTTGGGAGTACTAAATATACAAAATCTGTCGATATGTGGTCTGTAGGATGTATATTAGGTGAACTTATAATCGGGAAAAGTATCTTTCCAGGAGTAAGCACACTAAACCAAATAGAAAGAGTACTAGAATTAACAGGAAAACCTTCTATATAGGACATTGATTCTATAGAAAGTTCTTTGGCGCATAATATTTTAAATTCTATTAATGTTTAAAGGAAGAAAAATTTCAATTAATTTTTCTAAGGCGCAACAGAAGAAGAATTAGATTTGTTAAAAAAACTTCTCACTTTTAATCCAAAGCAAAGGTATACAGCATAGCAAGCATTAGAACATAAATATGTAGCCGAATTTCATAATCCAATAGAAGAGACTGTTTGTTAAAAACCAATTGATATTCCATTAAATGATCACGAAAAATTTTCGATAAAAAAATACAGAGAAGCACTTTATGCGGATATTAATGAAAGAAAAAAAGAATAAAGAAGAAAATGGTAGGCTAAGTATTTAGAATAATTAGGGCTTAATAGTAATTTAGAAAATGATTAATAAAAAAATAATAATATTTAATAGAAGTAAGATAATAATATAGAAATAATAAATTAAAATTAATAATAATAATAATAAACTATTAATAAAAAATAAAATAAAACATAATCAATGGATTATAATAATATAAATAATAATAATGAAATAAAAAATATATAGTAATAGTAGTAATAATAATAAAAATAATAAAAATAATAATAATAATAATAATAATAATAATAATAAAGTAATAATAATAATAGTAATAATAACAATAATAAGGTTAAATTTTGTTATAAAAATAAACTTAAATTTAATAATAATAATATATATCTTAATAATAATAATAGCCTATCCAAACATATTAATAATATTCTTAAGCTTAGTATCTCTAAAAAGCTTAATAATAACAAATTTAATAAGATGAATTATTAAAAATTAAAAGGCTAATTAATATATTTAAATTAATAAAAATAACAACCTTAATAATATTGTAGATTAAAATTCAAATTAAAAAAATAAAACTCATAATCATAACAATAATAGTGCATTAAATTATTAATAATATTTAAATTAAAATCAAAATTAATAAATAGTAAAAAATAACAATATATAAAATAATACAAATCAAAATATTTAATAATTACAATAATAATATTAGTAATTGAAATAATAATAAACATAATATTAATAATTAAACTAAGTCACTAATAATTATTAATAATTAAAATAGTAATAATAATAAAATAATTATTATTAATAATAATAATAGTTTTAATAATAGAATTATGCTTAATTATTACAACAATAAAATAAAAAAAAATATTGATAAAAATGTTTTTTAGAAAGTTAATTTTGTTTTTAAAAAATATATTTAGTTTTTATACATATATATATATATATATATAATATGTTATATTTGCATATAATATATATATTGATTTATATATTATATTAATATATAATAATTTTATATCTATTTTTATTTTTCACTTTAATATTATAAAATTTATAAATATATATATTATTATAATAAAATATAAAAATATAAAATATATTTTTATATTTATATAATTTTTTTTTATTAAAAAATAATAATAATTATTTATTTTATTATAAAGACAATATTTTTTATTTTTTAATTTTTATAAAACTTTTGTAAGAAATAAAAATATTCAATCTAATTCATATTTTAAATTTATAAATAAAAATTAGTAATTTATAATCTTTGTTTTTATATATTTTTTTAATTATAATTTGTATATAAAACAATTGATTTTTTATTAAATAAAATATTAGATAAATATATATTATATTAAACCTTTTTTTATTTATTTAATTTAAATATTTAAAACTAGCCTTTATCATATTTATTTAAATTTATACTTTATTATCACTAAAATATGTATTTTTTAATAATTTATTTAACTATTTAACAAGTATTTTTAAATTAAAAAAAAAAACATATTAAATTAAATTAATAAAAAAATAATTTGATATATGTTTTTAATAAATAAAAATTTATTTTTAAATAATTTTGCTTTAGTAAAAACCTAATTAATAATATAATTTATATATTTTAAGTTAAAAAATTAACTATAAAAGAATTTAATTAAATAATAAAATATGTAGATATATCCTAGAGAAATATATTTTATTGAAAAAATATGAAATTAATTTCTAAAATTATATTTTTTAGTCTCTTATACAATAAAAAGCTAAAAAGAAAATATTTAAGTTCTAAATTAAATAATTATGAGGAAATAATAGCTTAAAGTACGTTAAATTCTTCTTTCGAAAAAATAAATATATATAGATAAATTTTTTGTTCATTATATAATATTATAAAAAAATAAAAAATATTATCTTTAATAAAACGTATTTATTTGATATTTTTTTAATAACAAAATATTTGTTTTATACTATTATTTATTTTAAAAAAATAATAAAGAAATTAATTATTATGTAAAATATAAATTAAAAATATAATTTTTTGATATTAAAAATTAATATATTAAGATTTTAATAAAATATTTAGAATAAATTTAAAATTTAAACGATATTATTATTAAAAATAGTCCAGATATTTAAAAAATATATTTGCTTTAAAATATAAATTATTTCTAATAAATAAAAATTTTTTATAATTTAATTTTGTATTATTTTTATTTTTTAAAAAGATTAATAATTTTTAAAATAAAAAATAATATAATTTATCAGAAACAGAAAAATAAATATATACTAATAAAATCTTATATTAAAACCAAATTATTCATAAAAAAAAAAAAATATATTTCCTATATAAACATTCTATTCGTTCAAATTATATAAATAATGATATAATGAAAAAGGCTAATGATAAAAAATAATTTAAAAAAGATTAATTATAAATATAAATAAATAATATGATGTAAAAAAATAAAAATTTAAACAATAATGAAAATAGCATGAAAGAAAATTCATAAAAAATAAAAAAAAATAAAAAAAAAATTAAAAAAAAAGATTTTAAATAAATTTATATTAATTGATTTCATTTATAAATTAATATAAAAAATATATATAAAAATATATATATTAATAAAATTAAATATATAAACCCATTATTTTTAATAACTATATCATATATAAATATTAATATATCTTTTTTTAAAAAAAATCTTTTAAGACTGTACTTTTACAGGATCATTTCTATAGTAATTACTTACTATATGCGTCTTCTAAGAAGACAACAACTCAATCTAGGATGATTAAAAGAACACTCTTATCCTTAATGGGACATTGAAATCTCTAGTATTTTATTCTTTTTAGAATAGAATACTTTTGCATTTCACGATGATCGTCCATCACTGTTTTAAACCGATAGTTTTATACTTGAAGTTACCAGTGTATGGAGGGTATGAATGCTTCTGACTAGATTAAACACCCTATATAATTAAACTAATTTTTTTTTATTTTTTTTAATAACAATACAGTTTATTATTTTATAATTTTTAACAAAAAAAATATTACTATGTCATTCTTATATATTTTTTATTTTTACATATTTAATAAAGATAATGGTAAGAATTAATTCATAGTCATTTTTAAAAATATATTATATAGATTAGTTAACATATATATATATATTTTATCTTATTATAGTAGAAATAATAAATTTTATATTTATTCTTATCAAAAAATGTCGATTTTATTATAAATTAAAATATTAATACAAAATATATAATAATTATAGTAAATATTTAATTATAGTTAAATAAGATTAAATTTCCTAAAAATTAAAAAACAATCAAAACGAAAAAAAAAAAAAATATATTTAAAAATATTATTTAATTGCCTATTTTTTTTTGAAAATACAATTTACAAAAAACATGTATTTGATTTACAAATAAATTTAAGGTTATTATTAATGTGTTTTTGTAAAATAGCGAATTAAGTTTCTTAAAAGGAAACAAATGAAAACGAAAATACTATAAAAAACACTTTATTCATTAAGTTAAAGTACTTTTTATTTATTAATTTTTGATTTAAGCTACTATTTTTGTTTCATATATAATAGTAATCAAATTATAAATATAGAACTAATAAAATTTTTCAATTAAAACCCAAAAAAATATTATTAAGAAATGCACTTATTATAATGAAAATAATATATAAGAGAAACATAAACATATATATAAGTTAAATAATTAAGAAAATTATTAAAAAATACATAAATTAAATATCAAATTTTATAAATAAAAAAAAATTAATAAATATTGACTATAATTATTTATTTTATATATAATAAAAAATGTCTTAAGTATAAAAAATCTTCACATAACCCTAAGTGTAGTTTTTTATTTACATTTCAGTTAAGATAATATATAATTAACCTAATTGTACTTAAAATATACTAAATAATTATAGATTATATTTATATTAGTTAGAAGAAACATAGGTAATAAAAGATATTACTAAAGGTTCGAAAAAAAGGGAAAAACATGAAGTAAAATATATATAATTTCGAATAATAATTGCGATTTGAAAGGAAATAATTATTTTTGGTAAATTTCTAATTATTTTTTATGCATATATTTTAAGAGGTTTTGTCAAAAGAAAACATATCCGTTTGTTAAGAAGGGTTATGAGTTTAATAATAAAAGTTTTATTTTGTAAAATATTTTTTATATAAATAAAATTATAACCATAAATAAATTAATAAATATATTAAATTTTTATTTTATTTTTTCATATTTTATTACAATAAATTTATATTATATAATTATTATTTTAAATCATATTTTATAAAGATTTCGTAAAAATACTTAAATTTTTTCCATTAAAACAATTATATCCATTTAAATAAGTATCATTTTTATCTTAATTTTATTAAGAATTTTACTTATCATTTTTATTAACAAATCCCATTTTTTATTTACTTTCCTAAATACCATTTTCTGTAAAAGGTTTAATTTATATAAACTTTTGCTATTAAATTTAATAAGTTTCAAAATTACTTATTTTATTTTTATAATAATTATAATTTATATATGTATTTGCAGTATTATCAACACTATAGTTTTTATTTTTTTCAAAATGAATGTTTTGAGTATAATTTTTAGGTGTTTGAGTATTTTTTTTATCACTTTGTGATTCTTGTTTTTAATTAATAGTTGAATTCAGTTCTAAATTGTTTTTTTTGATTTTAAAAAGTTCATTTATGAATAGGTTTTTTTCTTAATTATTATCGTTTTATTTAATTTGAGTTTATAATTATTAGTTAGTTTTATTGGTTTGTTAAATATTTTAATTTTTTTTTTTTTTTAAATTTTCTTCTTAAATTTTATTCTACTCAAAAAATTAATGAATTTTTTATGAATTAAACGGGCTTAAAAGTTACTTGAAATTTTCCCAAGTTTTTCGAAGAATATTTTGTTCAAAAAATAATTTATTATATATTATATAGTCAATAAATTAACTAAATATGTATATTAAAATATCGTTTTGGCATTATTTTATACTAATTGTTGTTTCTTGATCATATATTTGGTCATATGATTAGTATTCAGTATATGTTAAATTTCTTATCATTGATTTTTTATATATGTATTTAGTAATAATATTATTATTTTTTATTTATTAAATTTAATTATTTTTTATTTTTATTTTTGTATAAGTATATCTCTATTAATTATTTTTTAAGTTTTTTATTTATAAATATAAAAAAAAAGTTTTTATTGTGTATTTTAAATTTTTATTAATAAATAGAAATACAACATTAAATAATAAAAATATAATAATTAATATATATTTTCTAAAAGTTAAAAAAAAAAAAAAAAGAATATTTTTATTATAAAGCAAATATATATATATTAAAAAAAAAAAAAGATTCTTTTTTCTAAAGGAATAAACTCTAATAAGAACAATCAATCAATAAAAAAAAATCCTCTTTCCAAAAATTTTCTTGACTTTAAAAAAATAAGTATATTTTCATAGATAATCCAAAAGCAATCAAGTAAGTATATTTAAGATATATATACCAAAAATAAATAAAAAATTTAATTTTCCAAAAAAAACAATATACTTTTTTTAGGTATAAGCTAATAATTTAATATTATATAATTCTAACTTTTTTTTTTCTTTTTTTTCCCAAATATCTGAAAAAGTACTCCATTATTAATTATTCGAAAAAAATCAGAAAAGCAATAATTCCACACATCTAATTTCTAAATAAAAAACAAAGCAAAAAAAAAAAAAAAGAAGGATAATTTAATTTTCCTTTCTTAGATTAAATTAAACAAACAGATTATCCAAAAAAGCCTAAAAAAACAAAAAAAAGAAAGCCCATTCTATATATTCTTATTATTTTAAAAAAAAAAATCATTAAAATAAAAAGCATTCGCACTAAACCTTCTCCAAAATAATAAAAAAAAAAAACCTTTCCTAAAAAATCGAATATTCTTCAAACTTTAAAAGCAAAATCTAACTCCAAAAGCTAAACCAAATCCCATCCCAGCCAGAATCAAACCTTTCGCACAGCAATCTAAGAAAAGAATAGCACTTTAATTTTCTAAATCATCTTTATTCTCAAAAGGAACTAATTATCTATTTTTTTCATTTTTTTTTCATTACCGTATAAAACCACTCAATCCAAACTTAAGCAATCTGAAAAGTATTAAGCTAAAAAGAATCTTAGGATAAAAATTAACTATAAAGGAACTTAAAAGTCAATTAAATAAAAAGTGAAACACAAGGATCAACTAACAAAAGGGACCTGAATTTGTACTCACATAAGGGGCCTTAGAGTCAAATATTTCAAAAGGATACAAACAAATATAAAGAGAACACCTAAAGTCATTAAGTAAATACCAAGGGAAATATATAAATATATAAGGGTCTAAAGGGGTTTTAAAGAAATTAGTTGTTATGTAATATAAAGGAACTTATAATATCGAAAAATAATTGATATTTTTTCTTCTTCTAAAATCATTTCGTATACTTCACAAAAGAATTTAATAAACCACTAATATATATAAGTTTTTAAAATAATGTTTTTTTTTTTTTTACTTTGAATAGATTTATAAGGATTCATACTAAAAAAAAGGGTTTTGTTTTCTTAAATCTAAATGTTTTAGATATTATATTAAAAACAGATTTATAATAAGAGAATTATATCATTTAGAAAAATATTAATGAACACCATATTATATTATGAAATAAAGTATTTTTATTACAAAAAATTCGCTTATTTCTGTAGTCTCTATTAACTTCTATATGCTTTTAAAACGAGATTTCACAAAATAAAGAGAACATTGAGTTAAATGAAATATATTTTATTTTTCAAAACACAGATTTTTTTTATTTATATATATAAACATATATATGAAAATAAAAAAAAATAAAAAAAAAAAATGATTGAAAAAAAAAAAAATATATAAAAAAAAATCCGGAAAAAATCACCTAAAAAATAATATTTTAAAAAAGGAAAATAACCTTTTGATGATAATCTTTTTTTTTGTTTCTCTCGTTTTTTTTGATTTGTTTTAAAAAAATGGATTAATTATATTTAATTGTTTTCTTCAAGAAGTGAGACCAGTGGGATACGTTTAAAACTTTTTTTATAATATGTTTTCCTAAATAGTTATTATTATTTCAAATCCAAGTTTGTTATTTATATTTTGTAATTGTTTCCCTTGTATTTGCTTAATTATTTCTCTTTATTTTTTTTAACTCTTCTTAGTTTATTATTATTTTATTAATTCACAAAAAATTTAACTTAAATAGATAAAGAATACATTAACCACTAGAATTCTAAAAAAAAAGCACTAATAAAAAATGTTTAGATTAGAATAACAATATTTTGTTTTTTTATCAAAAAAAAAAAAAAAGATTACGAACTTAAGCCATTTCTTATATAGCAATAATTAGGTATTTTTATTAGATTTTCGAAATACTCCTACAAAAAAATTACATCTATTTAACAAAAAAATATTCAACAAATCAATTAAAAAGAACAAATTTTTTATCCTTTTAAAAAATAATTCATTAGATATATATTTTTTAAAAAGAATTTACTGTACTAAAGAATTTCAAAATAAATTTCTACTGGAATTTCAATACATTTCTTAAAATTTTTATAAAAATAAATAAAAGTTAAAAATATATATATATAAATTATACCTTAATCTAATTCATAAAAACAGTAATTTTTAAATTTACATTATCTTTATTTAAAAATCTAAAAAAATCTTTCAAAAATCCTCGTATTCTTCATATTAAAGTTAAATTAGTATTTTATAATAAATTATATTACTTGGATTATTTCATAATTCTTCTCTTCAAATAACATTTAAGGTAATATTAAAAATATTTTATTAAAAAGTATACTTTTTCATTAAGATAAGGTTTAGTTTCTTTGAGAGAAGAATAACTAATATAGGCTTTTTTTATGTATATTTTTTTATAAAAAATTAATTTATTTAAAAATTTATTATAAACTAGGTAAAATAAACTACTATTTATATTAATTAATAATAATATATATATATATATATATATATATATATATATATATATATATATATATATATATATATATATATTATAATAATTTATATAGAATATGGGAAAATTTATTATAATTAATATATTATATATTAATTAATTTTTTTTTCCCAATTTAATATAATAAATATATATCAAATAAAAGCATAAAAAACTATAATATTTTTATTATATTATTATATTATAATATATATTATATATATATTATTTTATATATATAATATATAGGGGAAATTTTTTTTATATATATATTAATTAAAAAGTATATATTAAATTAAATAAATTATATTAAATATTTTATAACATTCCTTTAATTATAGAAATATATTAATTTTTTTCAATATAATGATTTTAAGTTTTATATATATTACGTTATTTTTAAAAAATAAAATAAATTAATAAATATCTTTATTTTTTCAATATATAACTAATATAAATTTATTCATAATAAAAATAATAATATAATATAAAAAATTTACTTATTATATTTGTTTAAATAGTATATTTTTATTAAATATATAATATTTCTATATAGATAATAAAGATTAGATTTTATTTTTTGTTTATATTATATATAAAATTAATATGAATAATATTTTTATTTTTATTATTTTTTATAGATACCAAAGATATATTATATTTATAATATACATTTTAATTTTTTTATTTTTAATATATAAATTATTTTATATATAATACAAATACAAATTAATATTAATAATAATTTTCATATCAATTATATTTTTTATAAACTATATTATTCATTTTTTTTTTTTATAAACAATTACAGTCAATTATTAGTATAAAATTCATATTAGTTGTATATTTTTAATAGAATTAACCAAATATTATTATAAAAAATATAAAAAATATAAACATAAATTTTTTTATCATATTCACTTTTTTAATTTTTATTATATTTTCAATAAAATATCAATCAATTGATAAATAAAAGAATTTTTTGTATAATATAAAAAAATAATTTATAAAATTATTAATTATGTTATAAAAGTTTTTTTTATTACAATAGTATTAATTAATATTTACATAAATTTATTATTTAATATTATAAATAAAAATAATCATTATTCATATTTATATATAAATATACAAATTACTTGTTTCCTTCTTTTATATAAAAAATTATATTCATATTAATAAATAAATATATTTTAACTTTTTATATATTGATAATTTCAATAAAAAACAATAAATCAACAACTTATGTTTATATGATAAATGTAATAATATTTTAGCAAATAAAAAAAAATATCACAATATTTATAATTTTTAAAACAAAATATAAATTATTAACAATATAATTATTATTTTTTAATATTATACATATATTATATTTGTAAAATAAATAAAATATTTAACTTTAAATCCATTTCATAATTTAAAAAAAATGATATCACATTTTATATAAATTATATTATTAATATAATTAATAGTATAAAATGACAAATTTCTTTATATATATATATATATTTTAATTTGTTTTGTTTATAAATACATATTATTAATTAAATTAAATTATATATAACTTGTATTAAATTTATTTTTTCAATTTATCTATTTATTATTTTTACATCTATTTCATATTAATGATTAATATATTTCTAGTCTTTTTTTTATATTTTATGTACATAAATAATATGTAAATTTTATAGGTTCGTTAATATTTATTTTAACAAAATTAATTACTTTATATAATTTTTTTTTATTATATAAACAATATTAGTCTCTTATAACCTTTTGTTTTTTATTAATTTGTATATTTTTAAACACATTTAACCAAATTTTTTTTAATAAATTATTTATAATCTTTAGAAAAATGTATTTTGATTATGTATAAAGGAATTAAATTTGAATAAAAGTAAATTCACTTTTATAAATAAATTTATTTTTATATATGCTAATTTAAAATAAGCCCAAAATATTAGAATTATAAAAACTGAAAGGAATATATTTTATTTTAAGACAGAAAAAATAATTTAAAGCACTAAACATCAAATTTTTTAATAAAATAGAAACTAAATTATAAAAACCCTTATATATACAATTTTTTTATAAATTATTATTATATTTTTTTAATTTTATTTTATCTATAAATATTTAAATCTAAGTACTTTAATTTATAATATAATTATAACTAGAGATATTAAATGGTCATCAAGTCCATATATAATTTTTTCATATTTCGGATAGACAGAATAAAAAAAAAATATTATACGATATGATGCATCGAAAGCTATTGCATTATGACCGTCTGTTCAAAATTTAAAATATTTAATAATCCACATATAATTACAAATAAATCTTTAAATTAAATAATAATTTTATAAAATATAGTTTAGATTAATATACATTATAAGAAAATATTTTTTTTATTTTATAAAAAATTAATTTGTAAATTTAATATATTTTATGTTTTGTTTACGAGATGATTTTAATTATGTTTTTTATTAAATAATTAAAAAAAAAAAATAACAATAACTGATAAAAATATTAATAAGTTTTTGTTAAAATATTTAAAAATATTAGCGTTTTTAATAATTAAAAAAATAATTATAAATCTCAACAAAAATTATAGAATTTTTCTAATTATTATTATGGAAATAAATATAATATATACACTTTTTTTGTATAATATTAAAAGAAAAATATTTAATTTTAGATTTAAATTAAAAAAATATATTATATTTATATAAATAAAAGCTTTTTTCTTCTCGATTTAATTTATAAATAAATATGAAAGTTTATAAAATATTTATTATTAACAAGTATTTTAATTTTATTTTTTTACTACAAAATTAAAAAAATATTATTTATATAAATTTATATTTGATATATATTATAAATATTGTATTTTTTAATCTCTAATTAATTAATATAATTAATTTTTTCATTTTAAATAAGTAATTGTGTAGTAAAAATTCTAATTATATAAAAAAAATATTGTAATTATATAATTATTCATTCAAAGTATAATAAATAATAAAAAAAATAATATATAAATAAAAAGAAAATAATATATATATATATATATATATATAAATATATATATATATATATATATATATATTAAAAAAAATATAAAAAAATATATATATATATATATATATATATATACCATTTATCATAATATAGTATTAATGTCCGAAAAACAAATAATAATCGAGGAAAAAATATAAACCGGAAATGGCGAAACTTAAAGTTAAACATATATAAAAGATCGTTTTTTAGGAAAAGGAGGTTTTGCAAAATGTTATGAATTTACAAACATAGAAACTAAAAAAATTTACGCGGCAAAAATAATAACAAAAAGTACACTTAAAAAATCCCGTTCTCGCCAAAAACTAATATCTGAAATAAAAATACATAAAAGTTTAAAACATTAATATATAGTATTATTTGAACATGTATTTGAAGATAACGAAAACGTGTATATATTATTAGAAATATGTACAAATAATACTCTAAACGAATTAATTAAAAACCGTAAAAGATTAACTGAATTAGAAGTTTAATGTTATATTTTACAAATAATATCTGCACTTATATATTTACATAAAAATTAAATAATACATAGAGATTTAAAACTTGGAAATCTATTTTTAAGCGAAAAACTAGAAATTAAAATAGGTGATTTTGGACTTGCAACAAAATTAAAATTTTTAAACGAAAAAAAAAATACAATTTGTGGAACACCAAATTATATAGCCCCCGAAATTCTAGAAGGAAATATTGGACATTCTTTTGAAGTAGATATATGGTCTTTAGGCGTTATTATTTATACATTAATAATTGGAAAAGTAATATTAATATACATATACATATATTTATATATAATATATATAAATATATATATATATATATATATATATATATATATATATATATATTTATAGCCACCATATGAAACTCCTGATGTCAAAAGTACATATAAAAGAATTAAATAAAATAAATATTCATTTCCTGAAAGCGTTCCTATTTCTGATGCGGCTAAAAATTTAATTAAATCAATTCTTTAATTACAACCTTTTTAGAGGCCTACATTAAATTAAATTTTAGAACATCCTTTTATTAGTAATAATATAGGAAATATTCCTAAGACTTTGCCTTTATAAACTTTAACTTGTCCTCCTTCTGCTTCTTTTACAAAATAATATCTGCCATAAGGAAATTCATTAAAAATTTTATAATAACCTTTTCGTATTTTAGAAAATAATAAAGAAAAAAGAGTTCAAAGTATATAAAATTTAAATGTTATTTTAACTGATAAAATTAATTTTTAGAATTAAAAAATTGAAAAAAATAATAATTTAGAAAAAAATATTAATTAAGAATAAAATAATTTCATATATGAATAAAAAAAACCTTATACTGCAAAAAATTAAAATTCTAATAATAATTTATTTTTTATATCAACAAATAATAATAAAAATATTAATAATTCTTAAAATAACATTTAATTGCCTAAAAATAATTATGGATTTTAAAATTTAGAAATCAATATGATTTCTGTCACTTAATGGATAGACTATTCTGATAAATATGGAATTGGATATGTTTTAAGTAATGGAAACACAGGTGTTTATTTTAATGATTCTACAAAAATTATATATGATTTAAATACTAATATTGTATAATATATGGAAAAAAATAAAAATTCATAAGAAAATTCCGAAAAATAATTCTTTATGGAACAAAATCCGCCTGAATTGAAAAAAAAAGTTAATATATTATAAATTTTTAGGAATCATTTAAAGGAAAAAATACTCTAAAATGCAAATTTAAGTTTAGAAAACATAAATACATTGCCTCTTTAAAAAAAAAAATAAGATTTTATTTTTGTAAAAAAATGGATGAAAACAAAGTATGCAATACTTTTTAGACTCTCAAATAAAATCGTTTAGGTATGTTTTTTCGATAAAAGTGAAATTTTGTTATAATGTATAACTAAAATTGTTACTTTTATAGATAAACTTGGAAACAAATTTAATTATCCATTATGTACTGCTATGGAAAATTAAAATTTGGATATGCAGAAAAGACTTAAATATACAAAATATATATTATGTTCAATTGTTAATAAAAAAAAAGTTAATTCAAGTTAATAAAAAGATAATGATTATTATGATATATGATTTTTTTGTTACTATAATTATAATTTATTTATTTTTATTTTATTTAAGATATATATATAAAATATATTTAATTTTCTATAATTAATCTTTTTAAATTTAATTTTAATTTGAATTTTTTTTTTTTTTTTATAAAATTTTAAAATTTAAATATTGTTTTAATTAATTATAAAATGATTAAATTTAATACTAATATTTTATTTTAATTTATTTTATATTTAATTTAAACAATAATTTATTAAATTTATATTATATGATATAATATATTTATTAAATTGGTCCATTTTAATTTAAATAAACACATATATATTTGTATTTTTTTATTTAAAAAAAAAAAAAAAAAAAAAAAAAACTTTTTTTAAAAAAAAGCCAATGAATTACCATATTTTTTAAAAAATTTTTATAACCAATTTAAAAAATAAAAAAGTATATGGGGTATTTTTTTTTTAAAAATTAAAATTAAATTTTTTTTTTTTTTTTTTTAAAAAGGGTTAAATTTAAACCAAAATTTTTTTTTTAATTTTTTTTTTTTTTAATTTAACCAAAAATTTTTTAAATTTTTTTTTAAGGAAAAAAAATTTTTTTAAAATGGGCCCCTTTTAATTTAAAAAACCCCAATATATTTTTTTTTTTTTTTTTTTTAAAAAAAAAAAAAAAAAAAAAAAAACATATTTTAAAAAAAAGTCTATTGATTATCATTATTTTTATATAAATTTTATTAACAAATTAAAAAATAAAAAAGTATATTGTGTATAAATAATTTTTTTTTTTTTTTTTTTAAAAAAAAAAAAACTATTAGCATTTATAATTAAAAAAAAAAAAAAAAATAGCATATATATCAAAAATAAATTAAATATAACTTATTTAAAAGATAAATAAAGAAATGATAATAAGCGACCAATTTTTTCAAAACGAATATCAACAATCAACAAAAGTAGAGAATTGATGCAATTTTTATTCTTTATATATATAAAAAAAATCACAAATTTTTTCTTTATTAAATTAATACATATAATATATAATAAATTGTATTTTATACAAAAAAAATTAATAAATATAGACTGAAGAAGAATTAAAAAATTAACATTGGAAGAAGATTTAACAGAAATAAAAAGATCCTTTTAAATATTAACTAAAGGATAGAATTTTTAAAAAATAGCAGTAATAAAAATACATAAAAAAAACCTGAAATAATAAAATTAATTTTATTTTATTTATATTCCAAAAAAAAAAAAAAAAAGATTTATTAAAATTTACATAAAATTTTATAAGATAAAAAGACTATAGACTATTTACTACCAATAATTTCAGTAAACTTATTAAAATAAAATTAAAATATAATTAAAAATTTACACTCTCACCCTCTTTTTTTTAAATATTTTAAACTATTTTCAAAATTTATATAAAGGAAGACATTTAAAATTAAGATGAAAATATACAAATAGAAGCAGCTAATAGTTTAGTTTAAGCAATATAAAATAATGTAAATATAATAAATATTACATATATAATAGAAAAAAAAAAAAAACAGTAAATAGAAGAATAAAACCTAAAATAAATATTTTAATTAACATAAAGTATGCTTAAAATATGGAGCTAATTAGTATTAGATTCATGGGTTTTAGTATTTTAAGTAAAAAATAAATAAATGTAAAATTAATAATTAATTAAAAAAATAAAGTAATTAATAAATACCCTTCCATATAAAAATATAGAAGATGATTGCAATTAATTAATTTTATTTTTAAGTAGTTCCTCATAGCCTTCATTTAGTAGATATATAGCAGCCAGAATGATTGGTTTTATAGTAGATGTAAATAAAATTAAAAAAATTTAAAAAAATGAATAAATAAAAATAAAGTTAAAAAAAGATAAAATTAAAAATAGTCTGTATGATAAATTAAGATTTTTATGTCAAGATCATGATATGGAAGTTAGAAAAGTAATGGCTTAAGAAGTTATTATAAAAATATGTAAATATTTATCACCTGAATAGAATTAGATGTAATTTTTAGACAAAGTAATAATTAATTAATAAAAAAATTAAATATAAATATAAATAAATATATAAATATATAAATATATATATATATATATATCATATTTATATATACATATATTTTTATATTTTAAATATTTTTTTTATAATTATAGATTATTTCTCTAGTTTATGATTCTTAAATTAATGTAAAATGTTCAGGTATTGAGCTTATGTTTAACATTAGTAATTATTTACCATAAGATGAATAAAAAAATAGAATTTGTAAAATGTTTATCGAGTTTCTTGGAAATACTAAAGAAGAAATTTAAGTTTAAATGTCTTTTATTTGTGGCCGTGTGTTTTATTAATTATAATAATATTTAAATTCTAATTAAAATTATATAAACATGATAATACAAGCTTTTAGAGTATTTTTTTTATATATTAATTTATTTAATTATAAAAAAAAAGGAATACGGTAATAACTCTAATGAAAAAATAAGAAAAAATTTTGCCTATAATGTTCCTGCTATAATATAATTTCTTTATTAAAAAAATATGTTTGATTAATTCAAAAACATATACTATAATTGTATTATTAAAGATAAAAATAAATAAGTAAAAGCCTAAATGATTGCATCTTTACATGAATGTATTAATTTATGTAATTTAGAAGATAGTGTTAAGTTTTTTATGCCTATTTTTAAAGAAATTTTAAAGGAAAATGATGAACTTATTATGACAAAAATAATTCAAAATATAGACCTAATATTATAAAATATAATTAAATGTTCATAATAATATAAAAATAACTTAAAAACTAACAAATTAGATATGTCTAATGATAAAGAAGATGACGAAGAGTTAAAGTTAAACGATGTATATTTTTTTTTAATATAATTTATTTTTTATGATAAAAATAAATAAAATATATATATATATTAATAATTTATTTATTAATAATTTATATAAAAAGGAAGATAATGATAACTTAATTAAAAATATATTTGATTTTTATTAAAAAATATAATAACATTAATGGAAAAAAAAGACTTTGTTTTTATAAAAACTCGAAAAGTAAAACAAAAAATATTTTTTTTTTTACTTTTTTAATAAAAAATAAATAAAAGATGTATTAAAATCTTAGATCCGGATTAATTCCATAAATATTTTATACCAATAATACTAGAGTAAATGAAAAACGAAACAAAACAAGTCTAAATATAATCATGTCGTGTATTATGTTATTATATAAGTTGTAATCCTAGAGTTAATCAATCATAAATATTGATATAATAGCTCACATAAGATTATTTAAAGTCTAAAAGTTTCTAAAGTAGGCTTTCCTTTATATATTTTATAGAAGCTTCCTATGAAGTATTTTCTCGTTAATTTTTCAAAAATAATTATTTTTTTCTCGTTTTGGATTTAATATAAGACCCTGTTTTAAATGTAAGGTTATAAACGGCTAGAATTTTAGTAAAAATAAGATATATGTTAAACTATGATGATCCTGATTTGTAAATATTCCTTGAAAAATTCGAAAAAATAATAACTAAACTAAATAATAATAATATATAAAGCGATTAATAAGTTTAATAGGTAACACATAAAATTAAAAGTCAATATATAAATATTAATATTTTCTTTTTAGGAAATTTAAAAAGCAATTTGTTAAATTGAGGAAATAGATTTCGATAATTTAAGAATAGAGGAAGAAATCTAAAAATGGGATAATGAAAGGATTAAAAATGAGGAATATTTAATCGTTTTATAAAGACAAAAACTTAAAGAAGAAATAGAATATAAAGATGAATTAAATTTTATTTATAAAAAAACAAGTTTTATAAACAATAATTATAAAAAAAGAACTTCTGGAGCAATAAATAAAACAAACACTATATCACCTAAACTTTCAGCATAAAATATTTAATAAGCTAAAACTAAATATATAGCAATTAATAATATAAATTTAAATTAAAAATCTAGTTAAAATATAAATATTAATTCATAAATAGCGTAAAAAAAAATCTATATATAAAAAAATAATATAAAAATATATTAATAAAAAATTATTAATATATCTATTTATACATATATATATAAATATATTTATATATTTGTTTTAATATTTTTTAGGAAATTGCCAAATTAAAAAAAAAACTATGATAATAATAACAAATAAAAGTTAAATTTACCTTCTATTAATGGACGTTGATTATTTAATTTTAATATTTATATATATAATTTTTTTAATTTAAAAATAAAAAAAGCAATTAAAATTCCAAATAATCATAATTCTTTTCATATTATTGGAGGATAAGCAGGAAGTATATTCTCTAGTTAATAAAAAAATTCAAATGGTTAAACTATCAAAAAATAATAAATTTGATATATATTATTTTATTTAAATTTATCAATTTTTTTTATTTTTAACTTATTTTTTTCTAATTATTTTAATTAATAAATTAAATAATTATATTTCTTTATTTAATTTTGAATTTAAATTATAAATTAAATTTATTTTTTTAAAAAAAATATAATAAAAATTTGATTAAGTAAAAATATGTATTATAAATATAGATAAAATAGAAAAAAATAATTATTTTTTATATTTAAATAAATAATTATATTTATTTATTTATATTTATAGAATATACAATAACAATTTTTTTATATATATTTGAGGATAATAATTTAATATATAATTATTGAATGATATAAAAAGTATTAGTTATATTTATTTTTATAATTATTCTATTACTTTTTAATAAAATATATAAATATATATATATAATAATATATATATATATTATATATTATTATTTATATATTATTTTTTTTTAATTATGTAAAATTATATATTAATTATTAATTAATATTTTATTATAGATTATATATATTAAAGTTTTCAATAATTAAGTATTCTTTTTTTATCTATTTCTTTATATTTTTAGAATTTTAAATTAAGCATTTATTTTAATTATTCATTTGTATATTATGTATTTACTGAATCTTCGCCTATTAACATTAAAGCCTAATCTTTTGCAATAAATTTTCCTTTTATTCTTAATCTATTATCAGTGAATTTTTTTTTAAAGCATTTTTATTATTAATTTGTTCTCCTTTTTTTTTTAATATTTTAATAATTTAATATTTATTTATTTTCTACATTTTTTCTTTTTTTTTCTATATTTTTCTAATTTTTCATTTGTCATTTTATAAAAAGAATTGTAAAAAAAATGTCTTTTTTTATTGTTTGTACATACCCCATTTAATATGAAAATATTTCTCAAAATAGTATTTATATTTATTTCAAATATTTATTAATAATTATCAGGAAGAAGTAATTTTATATCTTATATACTATTTTATTATACATTGTGCCATTTTTTTAAATATTAAAGTGTCTATTATTCTGTTTATTGATTATTAGTAAAAGGTAAATACGCATTAGGTAATTTTTGTATAATTTCTTTAAAATTTTATATTTAAAGGTCATTATTTTCTTAAACCTAATCTTTTTTAACTGTATAATTTGAGTTTAAATTATCTGTTTTGTAAAAAAAAAAATTAATATGCTTTTATTTTATTTTTATAATTTTAATATTATTACTACAATTAGTAGATTTTTTAGTTTTTTTAACTGTAGAACTATTAAATTGATTCAAATATTTATTATCTTATTATTTTCTTTTTTTAATATTTAATTATTTTTCCTTTTTTTATATTATTTTTTCATTAGGAATATTTTTTAATTTCTCTTCTGCTGTTTTTTATATATTTGTTTAATTTATTTCTAGTATTTTATAATTTATAGATTATTAACTAGTAGTTGTTAATTGAAAATCTAATTCTTAGTTATCTTATTATAAAAATTCATTATTATTATTGTTTTCTAAAAAGTTAAAGTCTTCTACTGATTATATGTTTATTTAAGAATACCTTAATGGATATTAAGTATTATCTTAATTTATTATCTATTTTATTTTATTTTATTTTATTATTTATAAAAAGAGTAGGTATATATAAAAAAATTAAAATAGATAGAAATTGTAGAAATTTTTTATTTTAAATAAAAAAAAATATATTTTTTACAAGTCTTTAATATTCAGAGATTTTTTAGTTGTATATTTTTTCATATTAATCATAATTAGTCTTTTATTAAGTTTTATTTAAAATTTTTATATAACAAATAAAAAAGTTAATTTTTTTAAAATAAAAAAATTACATTAAATTGATTATATTGAAAATTTTGAAAAGGATTATTTTCAAAAAGTCCTTAATTTTTAAATTATTCAATTTCTTCTTCATCATCTTATTTCTGTAATTCGAAATAATTTATTAGTTTATTGTTTTATTAGCTATTATGTAGAAACATATATATTTGTTAAATAAATATTTTATTTTTTTATTTTTTTTTATTCTTAAAAAAATTTATAAAAATTATAATTAAAGGTATATTCTTTTAAAATTTTTTTTTTTTTTTTTTCGTGAATAAAAATAACTCAAAAAATTAATAATAATTTATATACTTACTGCATTCTTTTTAAAAATAAAAAATAAAATACCTTAAAAATTATATATATTTAAAAAAAATTAAATTAAAAAATATACATTAAATAAAAAAAAAAATATATATATAATTTGTAATTAAAATGTTAAGTAAAAAATATAATTTTAATTTAAAAATATTGAAAGCGTAAAAATATTTAATAAATATAATTTAAAAAGAAAATGATTATAAATTAAATAAAAAAAAAATATTTAAGTAAAAATAAATAATTTTAAATATAATTAATAATAAATAAATATATCTAAAGATAATATTAAAATAAAATATTTATAAATATATATATATATATATATATATATATATAAAATTAACAATTTATATTCTTAATAATTTTTTTTTTTTTTTAA